CCCCCTTTGCCACCTCTTCCAAAGCCATTCTCGCAATGGCTCTTCACTGCACTCTCAATTTTGTCCTTACCTCTCTCATTCTGGATGGTGAGCAGCCCAGACGGGTGGAGAGAAAAGTGAAACAAATATGTTGGCTGCAGTAAAAAATAATTACAAATTTTTTTATATATTTTTTTCTCTGTACACATACAGAGGAATTCGCCAACAGTTCAGAACAAAAAAGAAAACCCCAAACCCCAACTCTGGTCATTTTATTTACACAAGGAGGAATGCAGGAATTCTGACTTACTCCAAATCATTTCTGGTTACCCTGTATCGCTACAGATTTGTTAAGAGTAGAACTGGCTAACCTACAGTCCCACTGAAGACACAATTGCAAGTTTGAATTGAAGTAATTACTGCAGCCCACAAAATATAGCAAGACACAGCTCCTGCTGCTCTTACAGAAATGTGTCAGCAGAGAGAAAACAGAGATAAGTAGGAAAAAGCCATGAGCTAAGCAAATGTGATAAATTTTCAGGAAATAGGAAGAAATAAATTGGGAGCTTAGCTAATTTGAAAGCTATTCCTATTTGTTTCAGTGAATATTTATATTGGCTCTGTATTCCTGTCTTTCCAGTCAAAATTCTGTTTCTCACCACGTGATGATGTATTTTAACATGAGGCCAAAAGGGATCCATATTCCGACTAAAGCAATGTGGATGTGCATATTGTACATGCATAACTTGCCTTCAGTAAGACTGCCTGGAGAAGGGCAAGAAAGTTTCAGATCACTGCAACCAGATGTGGTGTCTATCGCAACAACCTCCTAAACTAAAATGGGAAACAAGCTTCTGTCAGGCAGCAATCCGCAGTAGGGGAAAAGGGGCTCCTGCTTGGAAAGACAGCACAGTTTACAGTCCCTTATGGGAATGTATTTATTCCACTATGGGAATACAAACTGCTCCTAATTTCAGCTCTTGCATGTCCTCTTTGGCCCACCCATGACAGCGAGCAGATGGGGCACAACCAGATTCAGCCGTGTTATTTTAAATTGGCTGCTTCGTGGGTATCAAGACTTTTGCTTAGGGCAGACATGCTCATGGGGATCGCTGACTTCAGTATAATCACCCCAGAACTGTACAGGACTGACAGGAGGGGTTGCCTGTGCAATAGCATCACTTGTCAGAAAAGGTGTCATGGGCTTAACCTTGGTTGTCTAGCCAAGGTAATTTCAAAGCTGTTTGCAGATAGGCTTTGGAGGTCCTGGAAGAGCCAGAGTCTAATCACCATCTTTGCCAAATTTCAGGAGCCCTTGCTCAGCACAGGTAACTCCTGAAGCACTTGATTTACCTTCAAAGCCTGTTAACAAACACTTACGTAGAGATCCAGCTTATACTGCCAGGAAGTGTTACTAGTTAGTTTGGAGGAATTACTACCTCAAAGAGAGTAAGGACCCTTAGCAAAGGGACTCATTTTTCATTATTAATTAAATCTCTACTGGGGCTTTCCCAACATAATTTTATTGCCAGGGTATGAGCTTTTTTCATTCTCTCTCTCTCTCTCTTTTTTTTTTTTTTTTTTTGTAACATTCCTAAGGTAAAAGCCACAGCAAAGCTGCAACACTGACCTGCCTTGACTGAAGCAGTGGGTAAGGACAGGGGAGTTACAAATGAGTGAGGATTGCAGAAAGCTTTAGTGATTTACATGCAGAACCAAACTATACCTATATTGTATTTATGCCCCCAGACCGTTTTGGGCTTTTTTCCCCTGGGAATATCTGAGTTCCCATCTCTTCAAAAGGAGGAGTTTGTTTTCAGTGGCAGTTCTTTGAACTGGAACACTAAATCCAATGCCAACTGAAAAATTGATATGCAGAGGGTGAATGCCACTGCTTTCCAGTTACTTGAATTCCCCAGGAGCTCAGGCTGCCTGTGTTTGTCTGGGAAATCCTGCAGCATCAGATAGTCACATCAAACCTGAGGGATTTGTTTGAATGCAGATTTGAGGGTTCAAGAACCCTTCTTTTAAATGGGATCTCAGAGATAAACTGGAGATCCTTCATGTTTAAGTTGCTCTTTGAGCAGTGGAACAAAGTACAGTTTTCTAGGCTTTTGTGCCCCACTTCCCTTCCTTTCAACAATCACCTGTCTCCAGTTGTCCTCCTGAGGAGCTTGCAATGCTGGAGCCCCCCTGTTCCCTGCACCACACCACACACCATCTACCTCCATAAGCGCGTGCACTGGCAGGCCAGTACATCTGTGCCTATCACCTAGAACACTTCAAACAGTGTAGGGAGTTGCTGAGCACATTCTTGCTTCTTTTCATAAGGAAGGACATGATTCCAGATCTTTCCCCTCTACACAGAAACTAGGTTTTATAAAATCTACAGATTCAAAAGGGAAAGAAATAGACAATGAGAGCCCATAAATTTTCTTACCCTGGGAAAGAAGGTTAAAAGGGAAACATAACAGCAATTTCAGTTACAATGACTAAACTTGAAACCCAAACCCCAACAGAGAGGGTGTCTGTCTCTTGTCCTAGCTTGTGAGCCCTAAAATGAACCACTGTCTTTCAGCACTTATAATAATTCTTTTAATCTATGAGGACAAGCAAGATGGAGGTACAAATCACCAGGAATATAATTAACTTGCAGTGAATGCAGAGCTAATCCTTTGTTGGCAGCACTGTTCCACAGGCAGTAAAGCAAGCCTTTCTCAGATTGGGTCCTACATGCCAATAGTTCTGGTCAATGATTATCCCTTGCAAAAAGCTTGTGACATACTCCCTCCAGTCACCTGTTTACACCCCAAATGTTCTCAAGTTCTGCTATTTCAAGCTTAACTCTTGTGACCTTAGTCAATGATATTCAATCCCAGCCTCCTTACCATATCCTGCAAGTCAAACAACTCCAGGTCAGTTTTAGTAACCAGTGCTATGTCATGCCTGTGGTAAATGACTCCAAATATGCCCACGCCCATATGTTTCCTAAATCTGGATGTCTGTGATAGCAACCAAAAGGGTCTGGGTGGGCTGTCTTGTTTCACTGACCATTGGGGCCTTTTTTCTCTTTGTACATTTTCTTTCACCTTCTGGGCATTGCCTGGGTGAATTTAGATTTACTAGAAGAGATCAGCTAAGCAGGATAAGCAAAACAATTGTGACTCCTGCAGAATGTCTCCAAGAGCTGGATGAGTCAGATAACAGATCCCCTGAGCAGAGATATCTACCTCCAACAGCAGCCAGTTGCAAAAGCTTACAGACGGTATAAAAACAAGTCAAGTATACAGTCATATTCCTCCTAAATACTCCACCAGACCCACTGGTTTGTGGCTCAGGGACTTCCTGAGTTAGAGATGGTGTGTCTTTTTTTAATAGCCTGGGCAGACTTTTCTTCCTGGTATTCCCTCAAAAGGTTCTTGAACCCCCACAACATTTTAGTACCCAGAGTGTCCTATGGAAATAAGCTACTCAGTCTGTGTGCGAACTGTCTCTTTCTGTTTGATCCTGTCACTTTCTAGGCCACTTTCTTTCCTTTTCAGTCTTTGTTCACCCTCCCCATGCCATGCTTTGTAATCAGCCTCTAAGAGAGTGACTGGGACCCACTTAGTACATAATTTCTGGTCTCCCTCGGAAAATGCTCTGTTGTTTTCCCAGGGGAGCTAGTGAGTAGGTGACCAGTCCACTACACTCATACAATACAAGCACAACCTTTAAAAGCTCCCTTCCAGCAGCACTTCTGTATTTACAAAGGGCACAGAATGATTCCTGTAAAAGCAAATGATCATCAGCTCAACTGCATCCTAATTTGAACATTTTTCATCTGGTATGAGACATTGGTGGAGCTTATCTGAACAAATGCTACCAGCTGGCATTCTGACATTGCACAGGATGCAGAAAAAGTTATTCCTCAGTGCATTACCCTGACCTCAGCTCTGCTGATGCACCTCATTTGTGCCTGTTTCTCCTCTTACTGTTCTAGGCTATACATGTCAAAAGTGATCTGCTGTTCCATTCTAGAGGGTATGGACATGGTAATAGCAGCACATGGGAGAAATGTTCATCTCAGTCAGTTCAGGGAGCTAGTTTAAGCACAGCTACTACAGTGGAGGGGAAACCACTCTGAAGGAGAGAGGCAAGAATAAGTGGCTGGAGGCAGAGCCAGTGGAACTTCTTGAATTGGGTTTTCGCCTGCATCCAGCACATTCTTAGCACTCTCAGCAGAGGGGCAGTGCTGGACACAGCTAACAGCTCTTAGGCTTGCAATGCTCTGACTCTACATATGTGCATATGTGTGCATATACATACATATATGTACACACAAACCCCTGTCACTCATGTATACCGTTTTTCTGTTCTGACTGATCTTTAAGGCATGCTTGCAGTACAACCCCTCTTGATTTAGAAAATACTGAATAAACTGCCACTAACACCTTCAGAAGAAGAAACTACCATGCTTTAAAAGCTTGGCTGATTGATTGGGCAGCTCCATCTCCTGCCTCCCAGCCTTCTACTAGTTCAGCTGAGCCCTTGCTTTCAGTCTCCAGCTTCCCACTGCTCCTGTCCCATGCAGCTAGAGGAGATCCCCAGGCATAGCTGATCTTATGGGACTACCAAAACCAGCTTCACTGGGGTTACCATGTAAGCTATCAACCCTCCAGACATAGTGAGAAGAGCCCAGCAGCCAGCAGCCTGTCCTGCCCTCTCAGTTTCCACATTTGTTTCTCTGCACTGAGCAATCCTGTGCAGCCAAGCATTTCTGTCTTGTCACAGAACAAAAACCCAGGAAAAATCCCTCAGTAGAATCCATTAATATGTTAATAAATAGGACTTGCCTGCCCTCTCTGGTCCAGAGCTGAGGCTCCCCGGAGGTCTGTTAATTTACCATGTTTTCCTATTACATGCAGCGTACTTGGTTGGATTTTTTTCATCCCGAGTATAAAGTGGGTGGAGTGGTATCCATGATGGATGTCCACCATGGATGTCACCAGATTCAGAATAAAACATAAACATCTGCTTACATAATGAGATGAATGGGCTTAGTCCACAGAACTAGACATTTGATCTGTGGCTCAGTTTGGGTGTGGGAGATCCCAAAGCAGCTGTGAGCACCTCTCCCTTCTAGTAGCTGGTTAGTTCTGGTACTAACTTGAGGGTTGTGTTGTGTCCAACAGACGCTGATTGGAAATAGCTCCAAATAAGACACCGGCAGTTGAGGATAAGTAGGAAAGAGTAGCCAATACTGGATGTCAGGAGAGGCCAGGAGTGGATGTCATAAAACCCTGTGCTGTTTGGAGTGCTTTCATCCTGGGAATTCTTCAGTAGTTGGCTCATGAAACGCTGCAGCTGTCTTGGTAATGTTGGTAAGAGCAGTGTGGCCATGTGAAGTGGCTGGTCAATGGCTGTCAGTGGAGAGCTCCACATCTCAGTCTGGCTGTACAGGTGAGGCTTTCAGCAGATACCACTGAAGCTTGATTTGCTTTCTTACCCAGAGAAAAGTTGGGAATCTGCCCTTTGGCTTTCTGCTGCTCCCATGCTGATCTGCTGTCCTCACTGTGGAATGATGGAGACTCAGCAGTCTGTATATCCTGGAAGCGGTAGGGAACCACTCTGCAAACACGGTTTCTGCTCCAAGAAAAGCCCAGAGCAGTGTATGCATGCATTGTGCCGCGGAGGCCAGGGACTCCAAAAGCCAGATTTCCTAAGCACAGATTCCAAGTCACTCCTCTCACATTAAAAATAAAAAGAAATATAAAGAGAAAAGTTTTTGTGCAGTTTTTGTGAAACTTTGATCTTCCCAAACAGCTTTTACAGGAGGCTATTTTAGGTGTTGGTTCTGTAACAGTAAAGTTATTGGACAAATGCAGAACATGGCTTAAGCTGTTGCTTGGAGCAATTCACATTCCTCAGGTGCTAAAAGCTTTAAATACTTCCTTTGGGCATGAAATAGATCTGCTGTCAAAGAAGCCAGCATTCCTGACAGTGGCTGTCCTACAGACTCCCACAGGAGAAAGTCTGCAGAGCTGAACTAGTCTGACCCCAGGAAATCCTTCCCATATCTCTCATTCTTGCTTGGTTTCTCCTTTAATTTTCAGAGTTTGCTGAAAGGCTGTTTGATGGCTGGTTATCTTCCTTCCCGTGCACTTTCTTGGTCTTACTCGCTTATATTAATACCACATCAAAGCTGGGACATGAACCATGCACGTCAGGAAGTCCAAGATGCTCTTTCGGAGACACTCAGTCAACACTGTTAATGATTTCTAACAACTTCCCTTGTTGTCTTTGCTAGTAACACAAACGGCTGGTTGCAGACTGGAGCTAAAGGCATTTGTGCAGCCAGCAGGTAGCATCTCCCCAGTGAATCCTAACTCTTGTGGGCCTATCTTTGTCCATATAAACTAAAAGTTCATTCAGAGATCTCCAGCTGAAGTTTCAGTAACTTTAAAACATATGCATGTTTCCTTCCCTTTCTTTTTCTAACACCACTACAGTGTTGCCATGCTTTACAACAATGATTTAAGGACTTTTCAGTACATTCTCTTGGTGTTGCTTTGGGTTCCAAAGTATATTAGCTGTTTCTTCACAGTCTAAAAAAATTATTGTGTAACAAACTCTGAATTTGCTCCATTCATGGCTGGGTTGGGGATTTTTTTTACATCTTATTAAACAGAGGAGAAAAATTTGGGGATTCTGGCTTCAATTCAGAGTGTACAGGAATGTCAAAGCTTTTATCTAGCTTGCTTGCATTTGAGCTCACACTGGTGTGTTGGTCCCCATTTCTGCCTCCATAAGAACACCCTTAGCCACTTGTACACTTGTCTGCACCTCCAGAGCTGCTAAAATTTCAGTCAGTAATTTATCCTTCATCCTAGCAAATTCACGAACGGGGTAGACACCAAGTGCTCCTTCCCTGCATTGCTGGCTTCTGGTTGGAGCTGTCCTCACTGCTGTTAATCAGTATTTTATTATACTAACAGGAATAAATCCATCAGACTTTCACTTGTACCCTTCGTGCAAACACTTGTTTGTGAATCAACAGCCCTAACTGCGTGTCTCCACAAAGTTGTAAAGAAAATGGTATTCTGGCCCCGTTTTGACCACATGCTCCATCTGGTTAAAACCTGAAGCCAAGTTCTTTTTCCACAGGCCAGACACTTCTTACTCAGGGAACTGAGGGAATAATTAATGCAGCTTTCTGTAAAGCCAGCTTGTGACCATTCTTATTCACCAGAACCCATATTCACCCCTTTATTTTTCTGAAAACCAGACAGAGTTCAAACACGGCGCACAGGTTTCTGCGGTCTAGAAATCGAGCGCCACAATGCGCGCCCGGAGGAAAGGCTGTATATCACTTTGATTGCAGACCATCGCCACCTGCAGCTGAGGTGTCCGGCCAAAAACCGATCTTCACTCCCAAGAGCCTCAGCGCACCCCCACCGACGCCCCTCCAGCCTCGGGCCCGCCTCCCCGCACACCGCGCCGGGCACGCCCCACACGACAGCTCCCGGCTTCCGCCAGGGTTCCGCCGGAGGCCCGCATGCTGCCGTTACAGGCCGCGGCCGGCCGAGGTGGGGAAGCGGCCGGCAGCGGCGTCGGGAGGCCCCGGCAGGTGCGTGTGAGGGGGACCGGGCCTGGGCGGGCTGAGGTGAGGCGGCTCCGGCTGCTGACGGGGGGTGCGGGGCCTGCACCCGCCGCTCTCGGAAAGGCCGCCCCTGTTCCCCGCCGCCCCCCAGGCCCAGCGCTGCAGCTCGGCGGCCTGGCCCCCTTTAAAAACACGTGCTGCTGTTCTGCTTAATAGTGATGTACTTGTGGGCTGCACTTAGTGCCACCATAACCGGTTTGTCATACGAAGGTTTCACTGCAAAATCCATAAATGCTTCCCGTGCATCTAGCAGGAAGAGCTGTTAGGCGTCTTGCATTGCCTTTGTAGCTGTCGGTACTACTTACAGCTGTGCTACACACCTGTGTATGGAAATGACCCCTTCTAACACTGTAAACCCATATGTTTTATGTATGTTATGAGCTAAAGATCATACAAAGGCTATGCAATCAATGCTGAGGGAAAGGTAATACCCCCGTTTTCTGCATACATTTCAGGTGTGGGGACTGAAGGTTGTGATCACCTGGATAGATAAGGTGTATAAATACAGTTTGAGTAAGGTTGTGCTGTGTCCTGCTTGCTCTCGTGTCTCTTTTGTAGAGAGCTTCCTTTGGCATTTTTGTACATGATTAAGTAAACAGATTATGAAATTGGTAATACATGCTCTAGAGGTTTTGGGGGAAGAGTGTTTTCACAGTTGAGTGCTCCAAGAGCAGCTGCTGTACAGATGTGTAACAGAAGTGGTACGGTTTGAGCCCTATATGGAGGAAAAATACCCATTCCACAGAAATGTGCTGCAAACCTGTTCTCAAAACCTGAGTCTTTTCTAAATAAGATGGCCAGGTTAGAAACAAGGCTGCTATGGCATAACAGGAGCACCTTTGTGTTCCGCTGGTTCAGATCAGTGTCTGACTCAGATTTTCACAGCCTCTACAGCCATCAGCAATTTGGTGGTTTCCTGGAAGCATCTTTTTATAGAAGACACTTTTGCTTTTGTTCCTCTGTTATACCATCAGAAGTGTTCTGTCTCACTTGCCATTAGCAAACTATTGTTATATACAGTGTATTAGGCAAAGCTGTGTGGGAAATCATCCTCTCCTCAGATGCTTCTTTGTTTATATGGGGTCTGAAGGCTTTGTTCTAGTGTTTTGAAAATGTCCTCCACTATTCCTGGTGGACATTACATCAGTTATTTCTCTTTACCTGCATTTACACTTGTATCTCTGCAGACCATCATCTTGAAGCTCTGATCCAGTGTTCCGTTTTCTTCCTACAGCTGTCTCATGGTGTCTGGTAATGCAGTGCAAAGTGGACAGCAATACTTTGTAAGAGGCGTATACTGTACAGATTAATCCTGAATTGCTAAATGTAGGATAAGCCTTCCCTCTAGAAAAAAAGAGACTTTCTCACTAAGGAGAGAGGCTCATAGGATGTGCAGGATGTGCATTGAGTCAGTCCCAATTTAATCGCCTTGAGCAACACCTTACCTGTTAGGAGCCTGTCTCATGACTGATTACAAAGTGTGGCTGGGATTCCCCCCACATGTTTTTTTTAGGAGCACTCAGGTTCTTTGTGCAGAGCTTGAGTACTGAGGCCTTTCTTCGAGTACCTTGGCCTGAAACGAGCTGTTCTTTAAGTTAAAGACTTCTCATTGGACTTCACACAGTCCTTAGTACAACTGCATGTGGAGCAGTTTATTCCTCTGAGCCTAGGGCTGACTTCTCAGGAAGAGGTGTGGGAACCCTCTGCTTCAGTGCTTATAGAGGGAGCAACTCCAGGATCCTTTTTCAGGTAAATCTTTATGTCTTTGCTGTTTATATTTTTCTTCTTAGTCTTTAAGTCACTGGTACTTCAACAGGAACCCTCTTTGTGGATCTTGTTCAGATATTTGAGCGTGAATCACAAGTTTTCTGGCTTATCAATGCACTAATGAAGGCTTTGGTGAAACATCTTTGGTCATTGAGTCAAACCCCCATGCCAAAACTAAATTATTTCTCGTGCAATATTAAGATTTGAGGAAGGAATGTGTTTTCTAGGGTCATTTTTTAAGATGGGTACCTAAGACTGGAGTCCAACTAGTTCTTTATCCGCTTATATAGCTCTTTCAGTATCTTCTACAAACCAGGAGTGTCCTCACTGCCATCACTGAGGTAGGAAAGAATACAACTTGGAGCTCTTGAATGATTAGCTCAATACACACAATGGACACTGCTACCAATAATGTAGATATAAAGAAAAAACCCGAACTGCAGATGTTTTTGAGTCTATATGTCCATTTCCTGATCAGTGTTTGTGGCTTCTCTAAATGCTGCCTTGATTAACTCAAATCTCAGGAGGCTGAGCTAGCTAACATCCATTGTTAGTGTTTTATTTGTTTGCTTTCATTTAATATGCATGTTTAGCACTCAGTTAAAAATAGCAGCTAAAATGTTGGTGGAGAAATGTTGGTGGGGGGAAACAGAACAAAAGAAAATGATTTAAGAGAATCAACCAAAATGGAGCATAATTTTGCTGTGAAGGCTTTTTGGGTTTTTCATGACTTTCCATCACTCTCCTTCATTGTTATCTTCTTTGTTCTTTACAAAAGAATGGGTAAGATTCATTCCAAAAAGCTCAAGATGTCCAGCAGGCAGTAGGAGCAAGGACTGGAATTGGAAGGACATCTTGCAGGAAATTACATCCCCAGTATGTACAAGCATCACAGTACTTTTAATGTACTTACAAGAACTCAGTAAGGTGAATAAAAGCATTATTTTTGTCACACTTTTGAGTTAGTAGTAGAATTGCACATAGTGTCCAAGTCTGTCAGGGGAGAGACTGACTTAGTAGTTATGGTTATGGCATATTAGCTCCTACCTGCACTCTGTTTTTCAAGTTGTTTTTTTTTTTTTTTTGCCTGCTTCTCCAGCACTCCACACTGTTTTCCAGGACAACTCACTTCTAGTCACTAATAGGTTAGACTAGACAGGAAAGGTGGCTGGAAATCCTTTTTGCTGAGAATTCAGGGATCTGGCTTAAAATGAAGTGTCTGTGTAAGAGGTTATGGAATTAATAGACAATGGCGAAGAAGTTGCCAAACCAGATGAAGCCTTTAGGGAAAGTGCTGCTAATGATGGTCTCGGCAGCAGACGTATCGTTACTTTTTAAAGAGAGTTCTAGGGGATATCTGTGGACTGCAGACCTAGATGTTTGAGTTAGTAGAAAATACAGCAAGGTAAAAGTATTGGACACCTGCAATGTATGGTGGGGAAAAAATTGTATGGTGGGGGAAAAGCCAGTGTGGCTTTTGTAATGGAAAATGATGCCGTAAATGTCTAAAAGAGCATGTTGAGAAGTTTGGCTTACAGTCTACTCAGATTGCAGAAAGCTTTTAGACACGAGCCCTCACCTGAGCAGCCCTTGACATAGTAAGGGAGTTCCCTGTCATAAACAGTTGGTGCAAAGATAGGAAAGAGGATGTGAGCTGGCTTTACATTATTTAAGGTAGAACAGGGCTGAGGAGGATGAATTGCAAATGTAATCTGATTCATGTGGGTGGAGAGCAGTCCTGATTTCACACACTAAATGAGTGAGGTTTTTGAGCCATAATGACTAATTCTGTGAAGCTTTCTTCATCGGTAAAGTCTCAGTTTGATAGTTTTACACAGGCTCAGGGAAGACTGCGTAAGCTCACAAGGTACACAGGAACTGCCTGGTTCAGAGGGTCCTGGTTGAGAGATGTGGCGGATGTGTTGGGGAAGCACTGCATGCTTATTTTGTTGTTCCATCAGCTACTGATTCTGACCTGTGCTGGAGAGCAGGATAGAGAGGCGTCCTTTGGTCTGACCCAGCATTGACCATTCATACATTCACACGTATAATCTGTACAACTGGGAATTAGTATGAGGAATTGCCTTTCCAGAACTGGCAATGTGTTCTTATGTATATTTCTTCATCATTCATCAGGAGATATATGTGTGTGAGGAAAACCTCCCATCTGCAGGTATTTGGACCTGTAAGCCAAAAGTACATGCAAATTACAGGTGGGATTTTTTTTCTTGCCACCTTTTAGTGAAAGCTCATTAAGTACATAAGGAAGCACCTACAAATGCAGTCTCACTAGAAGTATTAAAGAAGCCTGTGTAGACTCTTGTGCCTTGACTACAGGGTGTATCTGCTGCTGAGTTGCAGTTTACATGGATTTTCAGTGTCTCTCTGATTCTGGCTTTCAGGGTCCCTTAACACTTGCCTGGGACTACCCCAGCAGTCCTGAATGCTTCAGGCACTTGTGCAGACATATTCAGCTCTTGATCTGCCTTTTCTGACTTCCATACTTTTTTTTGTGCATGTGCACACACGTGCTTAACAACTTGTATCTAGTTTGGTTACAACAGGATTAGCGATTAAACCCTGGTTCCTGTTTGAGGCACAGAAGTAGAATTTGTTTACTATCCAAGCAAGAAAATCTAGATAGAAATGAAGTTGCAGAGTTTTGTCTGTGGATTTCTACAAGAAGAGATCATGTCTCTTACTTCCCAAATACATGAGGCTTAGGCACCTTGTATGTACTGTCTTCTACAGCATGCTTTTTCATAGGTGATAAGGATTTGTATATACAAGAAGCATCCTTTTTCGAAAGCGTGGATAGGCTTTGAGGCAGAGTTTTATGTTTCATATTTTGGTATGAACAAGCAGGGAGACAAAGGTTAGACTGTTCTTCCTCTACTGCAGTCCCCTTATTCCATGTTTTTGCTTTTAAAGCAGTCACATTTCTGTATGTGACCCATTTCTTATGAGTGTAACGCTCTTTCCTACTGAGTAGGAAAGTAGCAGTTTCCTACTGCTCTTTCTAATGAGAGTTGAAGATGCTGAGATCTGTCTAGGATCAGCCTATGGCAATGAAATCACAGGTACCCTAAGGCTGCCAGTATAACATTTACATGAGAGCACCTGCAGCTTTTAAGAATTACTTAATTGGAAATGCAGTTGGTGCCAGGCAGCTCAGGTCCTGTTTCTGATGTCACATTCCATAAGAGCACAAATTACCAAATGAGTTAATGCTTCACTCAAATTGGCCATGTTTTCAGCATGTCTTTATGTGCAGCTGAGGAACTGGAAGTTCCAGTTAATACTGTCAGAAAAGTCTGGAGGTACTGTCTTCAGTGTGAAGGATTCCCTTGAATGGGTCTTTCAGAGGGTCGGTCTGATACAGAGCAGTGTTCCTCCTCCATCCCTGCCTTCCTGCAACCTTTCTTCCTATTTGCAACCTTTTTTCCTATTTGCACCTTTTTTCCTAGGCAGGGCTCTGGTTTGTGAAGGCCACCAGGCAATTCTGTCTGAGGCAGGCTGGTGACTTCGGACAAAACCTTTAAGAATTCCCACCAGGTGAAAGCACAGTTGAGAGCAGAATACCTGGCACGGAGCTGGCCATTCTATGGCAAGTCTCTGACATCACTGAATTAGTGCAGTAAAGAAACAGACGTTTAGAAGAAAACATGCCATCTCTCTGCCAGTTGTGCCTGTGTGACTGGGGGGTTTTGCTGCTTATTTTTATATGTTTATGTCTGGATTCTTCTGAAGTGAAGTGTAACACTGTTAAGGAATTGGCACTGGGGGTCCCGAGTGTAGCAATGCTGAATTTGTTTCAGTGTAGTTCAAGGAAAGTATTGCTGGTGGAGCTTTCTTGTTGAAAAACATCAGAACAAGATAAAGATTGGTTTTGATGGTGAAAGCTTTTGTAATAATTTTTAAAAGTTGATGATCTGGTGAAAAATGAGTGCTAACAGCTACATAACTATGTATATACTTCCCTTGCAGGTTCAGCTGTATGTAGCATTCTTTCTCCATTTCTGCTTATGTATGATGTTCAACCTTTACTTTTTTCCCCATGTATCTACATGCGGTTGAATTTCAGAACTGGTGAGGCATCTTCTAAAACCTGGTGTCTTTGTATTCTCTTGTAAGAGTCATTTTCCAAATCTAGTGCCAATGGGGGAATTCTAAAAGTCTGGTTTCAGCTTTTTTGTATATTCAGTATAGGAAAAGTGCATTCCCTATTGTTTTCCTAACCTCTTGTTTAAGAAAAGTAAATAGCATCTCCAGCAACACCCAAGCTTGGAGATGATCTTTTGCTAGACAAATAGAAAACTGCAAATTGTTCTTGAGTTTGAGCTAATGAGGCACTGTTTGTATCATCATCTCCAGCTCCAAAATCTTTGTCTGTTTCAGAGTACTCTATACAGTGAATAAATGTTTGTTCCTGTTTGACAGGTATAAAGTCTGTGGCACAGAAAATTAATTTTGAAGCTTGCATAGTAAATTGGTGGCAAACCTAGAAGAACATTTGCAGGTTACGTGGTTTCCCCAGGTACACACTGTTGACTGGAACAGACTACTCTTCATCTTTCCGGTAGGCTGAATTTAAAGCTTAATTTCTGTTTGTGAGATTCTAAGAGACATTTCTACAGCATGATAAACAAGTCTGTCACCGTGACTGTAAATAGGGTATCTCCCAATTCAAATGTTCTGCGTTCTGTGGAGTTTTAGATTCTACTCCAGCTACATTATTGCTTAAAATGATTGATACATGATTTTCTGGACTTCATAGGCCTGCACAATTTTTGAGGTGGTTGTTTCCAGTTTTTTGCTAACGGATTACATTAGTTGTAGGTAAAAAGTACTTAGTATTGATTCATCCTTGTTTTCAGTTTCTGAATTTCCTAACCTAATAGTTAGCCAACTTTTTACTGCTAAGAGGAGCAGAGTTGCTTTTTATCTGCAATCCTTCAAAGATGAATACTCAAACAGCAGTTTTCTGTTTGCTTATCAGGAGATCCCAATATTTGCCTAGCTTGATGTAGACATAGCTAAATCTGTCACCTGCTTCTGTAGTTTGCCTAGGTTGTCCAATGAGCTATAGCTTTCAGATGCATTGCTGTGGAGAGATGTGTAAAAATAAGTTTGTGGAAATGAGTTACTTTTAAATAAGCTTTATATTCTTTATTATATCAATTTTCTAGAACTATGCCAAGGAAACGAAAGCTGTTGGCTCAGTTAAGTGCTCTCCAAAGTGACTCCAGCTTCCCTTCCTTTGATGCCTTGGGGAGCTTGAACGCTAAACTTGATGGTGATTCTTCTCCAAAAAGCAGCAAATATTTTGCCGCAGAGAAAAAAAATTCTTCCCATCTAGAAGCAGATTTTTTCAACCAGCCCTGTATTAGCCTGGCCAAGTCCTTTCTGGGACAGGTAAGACACCAACGCTGGGATTACTGTACTGGAGCATGTGCTAGCTAATAACTTAGTGTAACAGGATAAAATTCTTCTTTCCGTCATTTGACTCCAAGACTTTGCTATTTTAAGAATACAGCTCTCATTCCTTCTCTTGTTAAATGCAGTGGAATTTAAAGACTAGTAGCTCAGTCTATTTTGGATGGAGTCAGAGGAGTAATTTTACAGGTTTCATTTAATATTGCATTTCAGAATTAGTTTCTGTGGATTTTTTCTCCCTCTTTTTCTGGTTTACTGAAATGTACTTTGCTGTTTATGGTTTGAAGGTTGTGTCGGGCCCATTATTTTCCTTTCAAGTATTCCTTTATTTGTTTTTGGCTCTTGCTTAGCTCAGTGTAAAGTAATGCTCTGCAGTCAGCAACATCTCCTTCTCTGCCTCCCTTTTACTATCTTGTGATACTGATAGCATGGCAGGTCCTCAGCCTTTCTTGACCAGTATCCACTGTCGTAGTGTACTTGAGTATTTCATTTTTATCTGCATGTTCAGCAGACTGCTCAGTACTTTCCTGCTGACCTGTATGCTTTGAAAGTTGTCTCTCATACTACTTGCTTTCATTTCTGCTGTTCTGAGTAGCTCATTGTCAGTACACATGGTGAGCTCTCTGATGATCACTTCTCTGAGGTTATTACAACCATGTGAGGTAGCACAGGCCTGAGCGTGGAGATGTTTAGGACTCTGCAGTCCCACAGTTCACTCCAAATCTTCACTCCAAAACCTGTGGTTCCTATCTTCTGTTTCTGAGTTTTAAAGACATTACTGGTTCATGAAAGGACCTTCTCCCTTATCCCATTCTAGAAGCTTTGAGGAATCTCTGAACTTGTTAAAAGCCTTTGGAAATGAGAGCGGGGGAGATGAAACGTCTCTCTTCTGCTTAACGAGTCCTTCAAAAAACTCTCCCACTCTTTCCATGGGAGGGAATTCCTCCAGTGTTTTCCCTACAAAATGTTCCAGTCTGGGACTTCCTAAATACAATTGCAAAACGTGTTTTTATTTTCACTGCTCTGGTCTTATCTTCTCTTGAGTCTTTTTTTTTTTTAATACCTTTATTGTCAGTAGTGTGACCAGACCCTCTGGGTTCTCATTGGTTTAGATAACTCTAGGAATTTGTTCCACAAACTGTTGGGTTTGGCCTCTCTTGCTGTGTCTAGTGCTTTATTTTATTTTCTAAGGATATTGTCTTGCTTGTAATTGATGCCTTTGCTCTGTTTTTTAACCCTACTGGGGTTTTTTGGTCTGTCTTAACCTCTCTCTGATACGTCATGTGTGCTATCTTTATAGACATCCTGCTAGAGGTTTGGCTTTCCAGCTTTGACCTCTGGCTGCCTCTTCCAAGTTCTTCCTAACAAGTTTCCTCACTTTACGTAATTTCCCCTTTTTGCTGGTAAGCAGAACCCTGACAGATTAATTTTGGACCTTGATGCTTGTGGAAGGACACTGAACTTCATGGTCGTGACAAAAGTTGTTTTCAGGGATAAGTCTCTGGAAAAGCCTTTGCATTTTACTCTGGATAAGTTTGAGATTTTAGTCTTCTTTTGTGAGATCCCCAATTGCTCACTCTGCAAAGCATCTGATGCTGTCTGAAAAACCATCATTTGTGTCCTGTCCTACTGTGATATTTACTTGGTCTATATGAGAATACCTGAATCTCCCAGTACTGATGCATTTTTTGTCATCTTAATGACTCTGACACCCTTATGCCATACAGTTACCCTGAGCAGATATTTTAGTTCTAATTCTGTATTTTTCCTATTTAGGCCTAGAATTACATGCCAGGCAATTTCTATCTTAATTTTAGATTTTCTTAAAGTATAACTCCCAGTCTCCCATGACCGATTCTATTCTCTCATTTTCTTAGAATTAAAACAATAATGGTATTTTAGTGTTTTGTTACCTCAATTCTACCAAATTTTGGAGGTGCCTGATATAGTAATACTGCTTAACCTTAAATGTGATACTTGGGAACAAAAAAACCAAACCAAAACATACATGCAGCAAATGGCTTCTCAAAACAAACTGTCGTAACAGCAAGATACATCCTCAGTGCGAAATAAAAGCTTCTATAAAATAGTTTGCTGTGAAGTATTGTGAATGATCACCATTCTTTAACTGTGAATGTTTGGTGTGTCTGAAGACTCGGGGAAATGCCTGAATGCTTTCAAAATCGTAACTTAACCACTGTATTTCATCACAGTGAAAGAGCAGCGTGGCCACATGGGTGTGCTTTTGGCGTGTTTATAGGCAATTGCAAAACACCAGTGCATTTTTCATAAAAATAATAAACTTATTATTTTCAACAATATGAGAAGCACTGCAGGGAGATGGTGAGAGACCAGAATGGCAACATTTGAGACTGACTGCTGGAGCGTCCATGATCCCATCAGTAATTGCATTAGCAATCCAGCACAAACATCTGTTAGGAATTGAGCTTTGTTTCTTGAAAGTAATTTTTTTCAATGGCTGGTTTTCCAATATGGAAGTGCTGAATATAGTAGAATGAAACTGATAGCTGTTGCCTAAATTAGACTATACTGCAGAATTTCTGAAACACAAGTAAAATAAGAAATTTAGAAATCAGATCAAACCACAAAAACCTTTGTATGAAGTTTAGTGATTGTTTTCTTTTTACAGAGAATATTCTCAGTGTCGCGGGTTTTACCCTCCATCTGCTTTGTTTTATTTAAGGAGGTACCAGAAGCAAGGAACACACTGTAATAACAAGGATCTGTTGTTGTGTGCCTGAAGCCAATTTCCAGCTCTCCTGCACTGCCCCTCTCCACGGTGCAGAAAATACAGAAATAGCATCAGTACTCGCTCTGGTTGTGATTATCTCTGTGGTTAGGGAGTAGGACTTGTTTGAACCATCTCTGTGGAGAGAGACTATCTAATCATAACAGTTATGTAATTGTGCTACTCTCATGTTTCTCCTGATCTAAAGAATATATTCGTGATGCTTCAAGATTGATATTGGTGGTGCTTTTTTGCCTTAAACCTGGTGGATTGTGGTGGAGAATAGAGAAAATAACCAAAATAACCACAAATCAACTCTGTGGGCTTTACTGTATATAGGATCATAAACTGATTTTTTATGATACTGCCACATCTAGACACTCCAGGCATTTCATGGAATTAATGACAGGTAGGAACTTCTTGTACTGGGCTGCGGCCTGGCCAGCAGAAGCTGTTAGCTTACAGACTGAGCTGCTTGCTGGAGAGGAGGGGATGCAGTACTATCAGGTCCTTTTGTTCCAGTTTCTTTGTTTCCTCAGCTTGTGTGCTCTGGTTATTTTGCACAGAGGGTTGCTAACTGATGCACTCTGACCTCTCTTTCAGATTTTAGTTCGCAAACTTCCTGATGGCAGAGAACTCTGGGGGAGGATTGTTGAAACAGAAGCTTATCTGGGTGGGGAAGATGAAGCTTCCCACTCGAAAGGTGGGAAGCAGACTCAACGAAATGCAGCTATGTTCATGAAACCAGGAACTCTGTACGTGTATCAGATCTATGGGATTCATTTCTGTGTGAATGTTTCCAGTCAAGGTAAGTTGAGGCTGAAAGAGTTTTAATACCTACAGCATAGGGTTGATATTTCAAGCTACATCTGCCATGTTGCTGTCACTTGTCAGCTCCCTATGGGCTCTGTCAACTTGGGGACTTGCTGTCATCTTCTTCCCTTAGGGCCTGGGTTTTGCTGTTGGGAATGGCACGTAACTGTGGACAGACAGTGTATTAACTTTGGATATTACAAGCAGGGCCCATCTCCAGCTGCACAGCTAGCCTGGTGGGGTTTGGGTCCCAGCTGTGAACTGTTGAGGCCCAGAAAGACAGGAAGGTCTGGAGGAGAATCTTGATCAGTTTCAATGACCTGGGCTGCTGCCTCAATTGGGTGGTTCAGTGAACTCTGTTCCTTGAAAGTGGTGATGCAGAATTTGGAGTCTTAATGACAGCCTAAATCTTAGTGTCTGTTGTCATGATAAGAAACTCTTCTGTCTCCTACATTTATCTTCAGAAGATGGGGAAAACAAAGAGGTCTGAGATGTCCTAAGCTTAAGCAAAGAGTCAGTGTAGGAGTGTTTTAGCTGCTTTGTTGTTCCTTTAAACAAAAAATCAAAATACCCAGACTGTTACAGAATCTTCCATCTTTTATTATTCTCAATATAATCAACCCCTAATCAAATTATTTTAGAACTTACTGGGACTCCCTCCTTCCTCAGCCTCTGTTAACAAGCAAGTGCTACTTCCAAACCTTGGAAACTTCTTTCCTGTAAGAATGACAGTGTTTGCCTTCCTATGAAGTTACTCATTAATGGGACGCTGTAAAACAGCGGCAGGTATTTCTAAGATAAATACTCATTTTGTTAGGAAAAAAATTCAACAGTAATTTCTTTTTTGCTATTTCAAAGATACAGCTTAAAAAAACCCACCGCTCATGTATTCCAAAGAGGAAAGCAAATGTAACTGTGACTGTTAATCCTCAGGTTTTGGCCTTTGGACAGGAGCCAGGCAGAAACACAGGGCCAGGTTACAGTGTGGGGGAAGAGCCTGTCTTCCTAAATGGAGGTCTGGAGTCTGGTGGATGAACACATGTGGGTTTCATTACATTGTCCCTGCCAAATCTGTTCACATAATGAAAGCAGAACGGCTTGTTATTCAGGATGGGTCTCTTAGTACTTGAAATACTAGGAATAATGATTTTTATTAAAAAAAAAAAAGATGCTTAGCCCTCGAATTCTAAAAAATTATTTGAAATTTATACTCTGGGAATTTTTCTCTTACATACCCGTGTTTAGCTTTCTAGCAAATCAGTTAGAGCTTGCTGTTGGGATGGATTTAGTTGGGACTTTTTTGTTATAAACTTATTCTCCATCAGCCTGCCATACACGCAGCTATGTTGACACCAAGCACAGCTGTCACTACCAGCTTTGTCAGGAACACACTAAGGTAAACAGCATGGCTGTGTGTGTTGTGTGTCATAGATGCACCTACATAAGCAGGATGTACTCCTTTGGTGTGTTATCTCATGTGCAGATGTGTTGAGAGAAAGAATCTGGGGAGGGATTGTACACAAGATGCTTTTCTCACCTTAGTATAGGTGGAGAAGAAGCCTGTCCTGTCATTTAGTCTGAGGAGCTGTCTTTTGTGGTGGCACTTCTGCACGTGGGTCAAAGGCAAAAGCATTTAATTCTTTGGATATGGGACAGATCTTGGAAACTTTGTTTTGAATCTGGCTGTGTCTGTGCACAAAACACATGGAAACACTGGCAAAACCAAAAAACCTTGTCGTGGCATAGCTTGGTCCTTCTTAGTAGCACAGATCATGCTCTTATTGCAAGAATTCCCTACAAATGCTGTGAAAACCTGAGTGACTTACCAGGAAACTATAAAAGGAACATGAACATGTTATTTCTGAAGGTGTCACTTTGGAAAGATAAAAATTACTGAGAGAACACTAAATGCTTTTCAAAGGGTGCATCTCCAGTGAAGTCCCAGAGCTGCATCATTCTTCTCTTGGATTTTGGCTGTGCAAAGTTGCAGAGCACCAGGAGTTAAACAGTGGAGAACATGGAATGGTTGCATCTATTCCCATGTATTATCTTCTGCCTCCTGTGATCTCCTAGGATGTTTCATATTTTCCCCTCAACTGTCTTCCAAGCTGAAGGTTTTTACTCAGTTATTCTGTCCTTAGGCTTTTGCTCCAAAGCCAGTCTATAACTTTGATCCTGGTTTCCTGTCCCTGAATCTCTTCCAGTTCTGTTATAGGTTTCTGTAGATGGAGGGGTGGAGCAGAACAAGTCTAGACATGCACATACAACAGGAGAGCAACTTGATTTATACAAGTAGTTGGGGTTTACATCTGGGAATACTGTATGGCATTGCCACAGCAAAGTGGAGTAGTGAAGAGGGGAAAGGGAAAGGTCTTGGGGGTTTCCTGATGTCTTCATACACACAAATTGACCCTTTTTTAAGCCATTTCAGTTTTCACCTGGATGCATATTAGCAAAGATCATATTGAATGACTTGAGAATGAGGGGGAAACCTGAGGTTGATTTCAGGAGAAATCAGTTACAGAGATTTTCCAAATGGATCTTGAAAGATATTTCTGTTTGGCCATCGGGTGGCTTGCATCAAAATGCTCATGCAGTTGTACACTGATTTTTAACAAAGCATGGATTTCTGGACACGGAGCGAGCACAGAGATTTAACTGAGATCTAGGATGGGTTGAGGTGGTTTAGTAAAGTTAGCACTGAGGAATAATCACAACTTCTCAGCTGGCTTAGATTAAACTATCTAGTTTGAAGTGTAGGCAAGTGCTTTTGCTGCTTAAATTACAGGATCCTTGTGGGAGGAAGGCAAGCAATTCAGAGAACAAGTATAACCTCATCAGTACTGGCAGCGACTGCTGTGCGGCTGCTTCTCAGACTCTTGAACTAAATGACCATGGAGCTTATCTGGAGCTACCAGCTTAATGGAAGCAGCTGCCATTTGACTGGACAGAGATCAGAGTGCTGCGCTGTCCCTGGTGTCTGTGCCTACCTTCTTGGACCAGACACTGCACAGGGCAGTCCCAGACACACGCTGCTGGGACCAGGCAAGCAGCATGAATTGGACTGCTGCAGCAGACTTTTGTTTTGAAAACAGTTTAACACTGCCTTTAGTCATTATGGTCTTTAATCAGCTCAGGATCTGAGACCTATATGACAGTCTGACTTTGCTGTGATTTGTTGCTCTGGAATCTGCCAAGGTGTGCATTTTGCTGCCAAATCTGAATGAACAGCTTGTAAAATCAAGATCCCAGTGATGCTTTACCCTGGCCCAGTATCACACTGCGTGGTCTTCCCCCTGCCTTGCAGATCTTAGACTAGGACTTTGAAGGAAGTGTTTCGGGAGCAGCGAGAGTCAGATGGGTGGAGACAAAACTTTCTTCCCTTCGGTGGCCAGAAGCTGTTTCCAAGAATGGGAGCTGGAGCCAGTCCAGGGAAGCAGCAGCAAGCTGTGCTGTGGGGGTGTGGGACTTCCCTCCGATCAGTTTATGATTTCTAGCTGCTCAGAGAGAGAATTTGCCTCAGCATTGTTGTTAGATCCCAGCTTTTAGCTCTGAATGCTACTCATTATATGGAGTGACTCTTCAGCATGGGTGGTAGATACCCTGCATCTCTGGACTGGCACTGCTGCTGATGGTGTGTCAGCAGCCCTATCTGTGCCAGGCAGATGCTGAAGCCAGGTAACCCCTGAGAGCAAACTGCTGCAGGCTGTGGGAGGGAGGGAGGCAGCTGAAGCATTCTGGCAGGCAGGAGCTGAGTCGGAAGGAAGCTGCTCTTTGGTAGTTAAAATAAAACTTCTGATGTGCAAATATGCTCAGAAGGACCCGAACATGAGCCTGGGGTGCGGGGACAGATGGGGCAGAGAAGGCAGTAGCTCGTCATGGCATCCCTGCACTCTTGTCTGCTGTCTCCACATCTACCCAAAGCTCTTGTGGTGTTGCTGTCACATTTGGGGACTGCTGGCTCTGGGCAGAGCATGGTGTCTGTGCTGCAAATAGATAGTGCAAAAACTGTCTTCTGGTGGAAATGCAGAGACAGAAATGCTGCATATCCCCTGCCGGGGCTCTGGAAGCACCTGCAGTTTCTCTGAGTGCTTGTCACTCTTCACGTGAACTCCCAAGGCCACAGTTTAATTCAAGTGTAACCCCGGTTTCCACTTGCATTTGTGAGGGATGAAAGCAAGTATAGTAATTAAAGGATTGCTCAGAATCCCACAGTTGTTCCTGGCAAGTGAGGCAGCATCCTGATGCGAAGGATGTTTCTTTATGCATGGATGAAAAGCAGAATTAGGACATGTAGCATGTTCTTAAAAATCTAAAGTGACCTTTGAGCTCTAAATCACTATAGAACAGGGAAGCAGCTTTTGGCTGCCAGATTAGCATCAATCCCCTCCCTCAGAGAAGGGAGTGCCTGGGAACAGATTGCTGACAGCTGTTGGAAAGAAGTCTGTTGACTTCACTGAGACATACTGAGGGCAAAGGGGGCTTGGAGCAGGTCTGGGGCAATAGACACACCTCACAAAGCCAGGAATCAGGTTCTCAGTCAGTAGGCTCAGCTGGGAGCCCAGAAGGGTAATTTAGTGTGGGAGTTGTACAAAACATGAAGGATTCTGGTTTTGGAAATCGCAGTCCTTAAGATCTGTCAGTGCCTACAAAAAAAGCTCTTGCCAGGCCTGAGCACATCTCCAGATGTTTGAGGTGGGAGAGGGGATTGTTCGGAGCAGCATCATGGAGCATGCAGATGCTGGCAGGAATGCTGCGGGTGGCCCCAGCACAAGGGGTGCTGCGTGGGGCAGTGCTGCACCAGCTGCTCTCCTCACCCACTACAGGTCATGAGAAGACCTTCCCTGATGTCCAGTGGAAAATACCAAGGAAGTGCTTATGTCCCTCTTAGACTGGAGATGCTTATCGCAGGGGAATGGCTGTGCTCAGAGCTGCACGTTTCCTTCACTGTCACCAAAACTGGGGAGGGCAGCTGGTAAGGGCTGGAGTTTCCTAAGACTCCTGATAGGGCAGCAAACCACCTTTGAGAAGAGAACCTGTCAGTTTTCTTCACTTCTTGTCACAGAAAGGGCTTCTCTGCTGAAGTGATGCTTTCAGAGCCATGCATCCCACAGCCAGACTCTGCAGCCCCATCCTGCCACAGGCTCCCATCTTGCGAGAGCTTCCTTGGCATAGGGATTCAGCTTGCTCTTAGTCATGGCTATGCAGTTACCCAAAGCCATGGTCATCCCTCCATGAGGATGTTTGAATTGGGAACACCTGCAGCAAGGGCATGCACATAACAGGGGCTGCTCTCAGTGCCTGCAGCTCCTTCACAGGTTTCCCTTTGTCCAGTCTATCTCTGCAAGCTGCCTCTTTCTGCTGGCAGCATCCAGACCTGTTCCCCTCTCCTTTTTTAGTGGAGTTCTTGTAATCAAGAGTTTATTATAAATCCACTGGGTCTGGGAGCGGCTCTGGATAGCTATGCCAAAACTGAACCATATGTGTATTTTTCCTGAACATTCTGCTGACATAAGAAACACCTCTTGCCCTCTGGCAAGCCTTGGAGCAGCAGCTAAACTTAGTAACATCGAGAAGTGGGGTTGGGGAAGAGCAAGTCAGCACCATGAGTAAAGGACATGGAGCTATGGGAACTGGACATTCAGAAGAGGGAAGGGAGAAAGCTGACTCCAGAGCCTGGTGCTTAATGCAAAGCTGCCCAATGGAAGGACAGACCCTGTGGTTGGTTGTGTGCTGCAGGCAATTCCCTGCTCCATCAGGCTGAGCTGCAGGCTGAAAGCTGAGATGTTCTTAACAACCCTGTACTGACACATAGTTCTTGTTCCATGCAGGGGAAGGGGCTGCAGTATTGCTTCGCTCTTTGGAACCTCTGCAGGGATTAGATGCGATGAGAGAGATGCGCAGTGCTTCAAGGAAAGGACCCACAAAGCTGCTGAAGGACTGGCAGCTGTGTAATGGACCCTCCAAGCTCTGCCAGGCATTTGGGATTGATAAGACTTTTGACCAAAGAGACCTGGCACAAGATGCTGCCATCTGGATGATACCTGGACCTGATCTACCAGGGGAGCAGGACGTGGTAGCCACAACAAGGATTGGTATTGGTAACAGGGGAGAGTGGACACAGAAACCCCTCAGGTTTTATTTACAAGGAAACAGATTCGTGAGTGTTGTAGACAAGAAAACGGAGAGAGAGATGGCAGCAATGGGACAGCTTTCTTGTCTTGCAAGTGTGGCACCAAGCAGGACTTGAGCTGTGCTCTGTATTATAGCTGTGTGGTGGCAGCAGCTGCGGCAGACAGAGGGACCTGGAGGTTTTAAAACAATAAATGTACTTCATTACAATGAATGGGGCAAGGTGGAATTTTATGTGTGGGGCAGGCTGGCCTATGGCTGCCAGCCAGAACTGAGCTTGGTTTGGGACGTCAAAGGGCACTTTCTCTTGTGCCAATTAACTGCTTAATTAAGGTGGATGAGTGGCAAAAGAGCTGGGAGGAGAGGAGGTAAAGGAGGGATCTTACTGTTGTCTACAACTACCTAGTGAGAGGGTGCAGAGAAGACAGAGCCAGGCTTTTGTCAGACAGGATGAAGGGCAATGGGCACAAGCTGGAAAACAGGAAATTCTTATTAGCTGTATGGAAAAAATGTTGACTGTGAGAGTGGGCAAACACTAGAACAGGGGCCCAGAGAAGCTGTGGGACATTTGAACCTCCACCAGGCAAGCTCCTGAGTGACCTGACCTGACACATCTTTGAGCAGAGTTTTGGACAGGAGACCTGCAGCAACCCATTCAAACCTATACCAGCCTATAACATCCAGCCTAGAGAACAAGAACAGGTTTTGTTTGTTTTTCCAGCTGCTTTTGAAACCAGTTCAATGGAAAACTTACCATTGTGTGAACCACAACACAGAACACATCAGTACTGTAGCCTGCCATGAGGTACAGGGGGAGGAAAACCTCTATGATTCAGCACAGAACCTGCAGCCATACTGGGAAGTTGAGGGGTGACAGGGTCACCCCTACATCCCCACCCTTCCTCACCTTGGAATTCACAGGCAAGGTTTTCAAAACCCTTGTCCCATCGTATGAAAAACACCTTGTTTGGTGCCTTCTAAAGAGCCCTTGTTACGCTGATTGCAGGAGCTTACCTTGAGATGCAGTTGCTGGGGGCTGGTAGATCTGATTTTCTAGGTTGGATATTGCTTTTGCTCTTCTGTAACATCCCTCTTGCAGCTGCAGGGGAAGACTCAAGGGACTGTAAGCAGCTGTCATTGGGTATGTGGTGCACTGGGGCCACCAGGCTCCCCCAGCGCCTCACTGGTGGAAGATAAGTTACATAAAGCTCACAGTTTCACCCAGTTTGTGTGGGCAAGTGAAGCTGTTCTGAGAGCCTGCAACTGGGAAAAGCTCCAGCTTGTGTGTGTGTGGTATAAGGGAAGGTCTTAAAGAGGAGCCTGACAATTTTTTAACAACGTACACCCCTGGAAGCCACCACCATGGAGGTAAAGGTCTCCCTCCTGCCCTTTCCCTGGGTACTGTCACAGAGCAGTGAGCAGCTCCAGGGAACAGGGGCCTTGCACAGGCCAGGGGTGAGCTGGTGTAGGCTCCTGCTGTCCTCAGAAACAGGGCTGTCCCCTCCTGTAGCCCCAGGAGGGCTGGAGGAGCAGTCCTGAACTAGATCAGGAAACATGGCTATGTACAGACCTGTATCTTGTTTTTCAGCTGGACAGCTTTAATGCAGGCCAAGGTCCCAGTCCGGTTCTCTGCAGCCACAGCCATGCTTGTAGGGACAGGAATAAAGGAAGAAAACAAGCCTCAGGGGACAAGTCTGAGTGCCTTTAGCACCAGCTGGTGCCACATACTTGCAGCCTGGCCCGCTAATTTCCATCCTGCTCAACAACCAAGCTCCCCAGCCCTCAATAAAACCTGGAAACCCTGAAACCCACAAACACACAGGCTGCTTGGTGACAGCCATGGTCCAACAGACATTTAGTAGTAAGAGTACTGGGAAGAGGCAATAATAGGCTATGACACAGGGAAGGAGTCATTCCCATTCATGAAACCATTTACTTGTGGTGCTTTGCCTTCCTACCTCTGTTCTCACTGCTGCCAGATAACAATGATCAGACAGAATTCCTTGGTGCCTGGGGCCATTCCCCTAAAGCCAGGCCAACTCCATTCTGCTCTGGGGCAGAGGCCAGGCATGCTCTGCCATGGGGACAGGCTGCTCACAGTACTCACACTGAATGACCCGCAGTGTTGTTAATGAAGAGCAGAAAAAGCACTTCCGATGCAGCAGCGTCCAGCCAAGGGTGACCTACCGGCAGGAACACTGCAGTGGGAATCTTCTGGGCTACCCTCACAAGCCCAGGGAGGGGCTCTGCACCAGCAGCTGCCATGCTGTGGATGTGGCACAGCAGGAATCCAGGCTGACCAAGCTGTCCTGGAGCAGGCCCCAAACCCCTCACACAGACCAGCCTCAGCTGCCACCACAGGCAGCAGGTGGGAAACTCAGGCACAGAGGGGGAGAGAGAACCTGCTCTGTGCCACATGGCAAGAAGGAACTGAAGTCACCTCCTGCAGTTTTTAGGCATCTTTTCTACTGTCAGTATGGAGAGTGTAGCAGGTTCCCATCCTTTGCCATCAGTCACTTTAAGAGGGATTGGAAAACTGAAATCACGGGGTCCTCGTGGCTGGTCACTACCAGCACACTGCGGAACTTGTCAAACAGCATCAGCAGCTGGGAGCGACGCATGTTCTCGTTGTACATGATCTCCTCCAAGTGGTGCCGGCCCCGGAAATAGTGCAGCAGCCTGTGCAGAAGGAGAGGAAGGAGAGCAAGGGAGCACGTGAGCCAAAAGCAAGCATACACAGCCAGAACTAATCCCGACACCCTCAAGGTTTCCTCTCCCATGGGACGTAAATCAGAAAGCATGTGGATTGTATCCCTCATTAACATGAAAAGTAAAGTGAATTAAATAGGTTCTTACGTGAGGCATGCCTAGCACAGAAATCCCATGGAAAAGCAGGGACTCCCCCATTTCAGCACTTTGTAGCCATACTCTTTGTATGAAAAGGCTTCCTCGCCTAGGGATTTCCCAAGATTGTCAATTGTCAATGTAGTTTTATCCCCAGACATTGAGGAACCACACCTGCCAACAAGCCTTGAGAAATCAGGACATGGCAGATTTACTTCTGCGCTCTCTTAGCTGGGCCTACAGTGCCCTTTGTCATAGCTGTGCATCAGCCTGGGTACCTACACTTGCTTTTAGAATTAAAAGCTTGTCTTCCCTCTCAGTATCGCAAGGGGCATGGCAGCTACAGGTCATGTACTCCTAAGGTTGGTCAGGTTGGGTTAGGTGGAATAGTCACAACAGGGAGACGGAAATCCTTATTACACGCACTACAGAGAAGCCTTGGGAGTTAAAAAGCTCCCAAAGAGCCTCAAAACACTGAAGCCTAAGCCCAAACAAGACTGGCTTTTTAAATTCCTAGTCCTCCTTCAGTATAGACAGGACAGATGCCCCTTTGCTCGCCACCAACACGCTACAGACATCAGATAACCTCAGCCCTGCACAGCAGGGTCTAAACCAAACCACTGCAGGAAGTCCCTGATGACTGAGAACCTGCTCCCCAGAGACCCTTCAGACCCTTAACTCTAAGCCAGTCCTCCAGACAAAGCTCAGGTTTGCTGCTCGGTCTCTTAACAACCTCCCAAGCATAGGAACCATACTGCCTGTCACTGCCATCCTCCTGCATGTCAGGGCCCAAACGCATATGCGAGGATCGCTTCCCCAGCCATGCAGATGGATGTGTGTCCGTATGCGTTACACATCATGCTCTGCTTTGTGCTTCAGCAGCTTTTGCTTATGTTTCCATACCAGCTGCAGTTCAGGAATATGCTGCCCTGCTACTTCATGCCAACTGACAGTACAAATGAGTGGAATTAATCATAGTCCTCATGCAGAAACAGCCCTCGAAAGACACCAAATGTGCCTTATAGTATTCCTGCCTGTTTTCACCTGATGGCAGGATGGGGCCTCTCATGCTTTCCCTGAAGGATCAGCGTTTGCCTGGCTCTCTTGCTGCTCAGAATAGGCACTCCTGTCACCTGTTAGCCTTCATGGGTGACTGGAAATGAGACCCCATGCAGCAGGTCTCACTCCATCTTGCCCTCCCTCTACACTGCACAGAGCAAGTTTCATCTCTAGTCCACTACTGCTTGTGTTTCTCTGCTCCCCGGTTTGCTACGTCCCTCCTCTCACCTCACTCTTGTTCCCCAAAGAGTTTTGCGTAAGCTCAGAGCTGGGATCCTCATTGCCTCATCCCTTCTGGCAGCCCAGGGCTGTGCAGCCCCACACATGCTGCAAACTCCCTTCTGCTCTGATGTTCCTCTGCCAGCTCTCAAGTTGGCACCATTATGTAGAACATAATTGCTATGTCTCTGTACCTGCAGTACAAACAAACAACAGATGGACAAGCTCCAGTCGTATTTACCTTTCCACTGTCTGGGCTGTGCATTTGCCTTTTGCAGTTATCTCCCACTGGGTATTTAAATCAGGCTAATTGGCTTCTTCTTCCCCTAGGGTGATGGCAACCACCGTGCACTGAGAAGTGGCCATTAGCAAGGACAGCATTGGTTTGAGTGGGCATATGTCAAAACCAGGCCATCTCCTGAGGTATTAACATGAATTTTTGCATGTTGTATCTTGTAACACTGTTCAGAAAGTGACTTTGAAATAGGTTTTTAAAGCTGCAGCTTCTCTCCCTTTTACAGAGCTGCTCTCTGTGATTGCCCATGCTCTCATCTCCTGCATAGCTGTCTTCTATGCAAATGATTATGAGCTGGCTTTCAACAGCAACACAGACTAAGCAGAGTTTTCCAATAAATAAACCCATCCTATATTCAAACGGAGCCTGGATTTGTAACTGGTCAGGATGAAATATTTTCCACTCCAATAAAAGCTGGAGAGGATATTAAAGAATATCACAAAAAAAGCCAGCTGGAAGACACCCCCAAAGTCTAGTCCAGTATCCTGCTCCAGCAGGATTAGTGCCAATGCTGTAGCATTTTCTAGCCTAGCTCTGAAACGCTCCAAGGACAGAGATTCCCCCACATACCTGGATAATCTGTCCTGGGGTGCACCACTCCCAGGGAGGAAGTCTTCCCAAAAGCCCAGCTCTACAGAGCTGTAATTTGGGGCTCACAACTCCGGTAAAGATGGGCACTACCTTCACATTTTGGAGCAAAGAACATTTACGGGACCCAAACAGCACCTAAGATGGCACTTTTTGGGGCAGTAACACTGCATTGAATTGCTCTGAACTGTAGACAGATGTGAACTTCCAGCTCCAGATGCGGTGATGGAAGATTATTGCTTTCCATTGCTAATCTCTCTTCTCCCCTCTTCAAGTTACAAGAGCTGCCCCTCTAACAGCAGTGTAATGTTCTTAAACACTGAATAAAAGATTAAAGAAGGATCATCTCAGACTAGTCATTCAAATAAAATTAGCTTATTTCTGGTCAAGGAGATATCCCTTCCACCAGCACTGCTTGAAAATGGAGCAAACTGTCCACAGCTTAGTGCCACTGATGAGCATTCCTCAGTGGAGTAAAGGATCTCCATCTCCTAGTCTAAAACCAAGAAAAAAGATCCTGAAAGTGTCTCCACACCCAGGGCTTGGGAGGGAAGCCATGAGTGAAGTCTCACACTATCTTTAAAGCACTGCTTAATGCGCAGTGAGGAATGCTTTGTGTACATTACCAAAGACCTAGTTCAAAAATAACATGTCTCCTTCTTAAGTTTACTTCTGGAAGGAGATGCAAACCCTCCTCCAGCAGCACCTAAGGGAAGAACTTGAATATCAATTCCCATTCACTGTTAGGAGGGTTAATGCAGCCAATGCTGCAGCCAAACTTCAGTATTTCTTACTTATTCCTTCAGATTTCTATCTTGCAAATACTGGCTGTGCATAGCAATGGACAGGCACAAGCTCCTTCTGCCATCTGTTTAATGAATAACAGGCGTTCAGAGGCATAGACACAAGAAAATATTGGGCTGAACTTTACTGCTTCTCTGAAAATAGCCCATCCCTTCTTGTGCACACACAACTACACTTGGAAGCACAGTTTCAGTATATTTAGTGCACTAACTATGCATTTACAGCAGGAGTTTGTTCTGGGAGGCAGCTGATAGAGCAGAGCTATTTGCCAGGGCACAGACCTCATTAGGCTGCTATTCCTCATAATGAAGCGAAAAGAAGAGCTGGCGCAGTAACCTGTATCAGCGTAATGAGGAAATCACCTCATTCACTGCAGCAGCTTCTCCACAATGTTTACACTTCCATTAAGAGCAATAGGTTTACCCAGACACTCATTTCTGATGGTTTACAGCACAAAGACAGAAAACACACCCTCAACTGTTAAGGTATGGTGTCTCATAAAGCCAGTAACCAAGAGCGTCTTGCATAAACATTTCCATTTGCACACTCCAGCACCCTACCCACAGGACCCACTTGGTTATATCTTCTCTCTTCCTCACTGCTGACTTAAGAGTATGCTATGCAGTTGTCAATTCACTCCATAGTAGAATGGAAACTCAGACTTAGCAGAGCCATCCTGGGGATGTGCAAAAGAACCTGGTGCAAGCTGCAAAATAAACATCATTCAGACAGCTCCCTGGTTACGGCAGCTGACTTTAAGAAGAAATCCAAGTAATTTTTTGCATCTGCAATTCCAAAGCTTTCAAATGGCTCTTTACCCGCATGAGGGAAGTGGTAGGGGAGCAATCGTGAAATCCTTTCTTCTTCCCAGGATAACTAAGAATCTGCATTGCTACTAAAGTGGTCCAAAGAGTCCCCCACAGATTCTGTCTGAAGATATCAGCAATTATAATTTTGTTTTTACTTTCTCTGTGGTTTTGTAACGACTTGTCATATAATAAGGACAAAACATTTCAAAGTTCCCAAATGCCAAAGTATTGCCTCTCTATCGGAGAATATGCTCTGAACAATTTACAGAAGGTGGAGAAGGAAACGAGTAATTCAGAGAGCAGTAACTCCCCACACGCTTGGGAGCGCTCTATGGAAATACCTGAGCTGTACAGCATACAGACTTGACCGCAGACGAGAGAAGCATTTTCTTGCTATTACAGTTTCTCTAGGCTACTTGGCTATATCCATGCTGGGGTAAGAACCAGGTTTCCAGAGGATTACCAACTGCATCTGGGACATACAGGAAAGGCTGCAGCACTTGCCTCACGTGGTTTTCTGCTCCACAAGTATGAAAACCAGTGAAAGCTGCATTCCAGTGATGCCGCTGGGTTTTGAAATGCTTAGGAAGAAAAAGTACTTTGTCCCACACCTTTTCACAGATGGCTGGTTAGGAAGTCATTCTGCTTATTAGCACGTGCAGAACCACATCCTGTCTATTTTTGTTGTGTTGAAATTTGAGGCAACAAAACTGTGTGCTACTAATCACACATCCTAATGACTTTAACCTAACTAACCTAATGTAACAAGCAACTCTGCAAAACAGACCTTGAAACACTTGTAGACTGGTCTGTAAAAGTATTCAGGCTGGCTTTGTATCTGATGCTCTTTGTCTCATATTTGCAGGGAGTTTACAAACCCTAGCTGGCTAGTAAATACCAACAGACACAAAATGACAGCATCAGCGTGACTAGGTCTTTGCATGGTTTTTTCAGGCTATGCAGTTTTATGTCTACCATGTATGGACACAGGAAAACTGTCTGGCAAACAGTGAAGTCCCTGCTTTCCAACCATATGCCCTGACTCTCCTTCACACATTCAGGACCCTTTGTTACCAATTATTCTTGTGACACATAGATCAGTTGTTGTCAAAAACTGATGTGCACAGATGAAACAGGTGTAAGGGGAACCAACCTGAGAAACTTCATCTCCAAAATCCCAAGCTAATGGGATTTGCTCAGAGTCCACACTGATCTTTCAACAGAATAGTAAGGATAAGAAAAAATAAGGAAAGAAAAGATTACATTCTGCACTCTTCACTTCCTACCTCGCAAACATGCGAAGATCTTCTGGATTTTGGGCAGCAGGGACATTAAGTATAGCTTCCCGCTCATGTTCCAACAAGCTTGCTAGTAGATTCTCCGTCATCCTTTTATTTAGGGGTGAGTCCCCACCAGGTATCAACTCAGCACTGGAATTATCCATGCTAGGGCTTGTCAGAGTCATGTCATCACTACTAGCTATCAGGGGAAGAGGGAGAGAAACAGTATTTTTATGTTCCTCAGCACAATAGATTATCAATTCAGGCTGTTTTCATGCAGTCTTTCCAAAATGTCATTTTAGAGTTGTAGAGGAAAAAGTGGGTCTTGAAATGCTACACGTATCTGCAATTAGTCATCTGACAACACAGTGATTTTCTCAATGGGAAAGTCAAATGTTTCAACAAAGTCATCAATTTATGTGGAAAATTGTACTTCTGGAGGCCATAAACAGTCCATAAAAAACATCTGAAAAGAAAATTCCCAGCCAGGTCTGCTTGAATACCATGAAGTGGTAACATAGAAAGCCTAACAGCACAGAAGGTGGGAGCAAGCAGAAAGGCCAAGAAGCAATATCCTCTTGTGAGTGAGCCAGAATAAGCAGATCACACTTATCTGACTCACGTGCCAAGACTTCTGCCCTAATTTGCTACTTCTGTAAAGCTGGAAGTTGTACAGAGAGTCTCTCCTGATAGCCAGCCTCAGTGGCATTCTGAGAATGCACAGGCAAGAAAGTTTGGGGATTTCAGCATTGTATCTGATTCATACTCTGAGAAAAACATGCTTTCCTGGAGTCACCCTGAAGAATGGCACTGAGGAAGGAGATTAAAGAAACCGAGAGACAAACAGAAACCAGCTATTTATGAGAACAATGGATAGCTCTGCATCTCCTTAGGTGGCTCTACAGCCCACAGAAACCAATGCTGTATGAAACAGATTTTCACAGTTCTGTTCCTCTCCTGAAAACTGAAGTTGATGCAGCACCAGCCATGCAGCCAGGAGAACATGCTGGTTACTCTGGAGTACAGCAAGGAAGTAGGAAGTTACTTCAAAACACCAGATGTACCTCTCATAAAAATACTTTACCATATGAGAGCTTTGCAGATGACAAAGCACTGCTTTTTAAAGGTCTAATAGCCCTTAAGATTTTATGCCAATGCCCAGCTCTAAATTTAAGAAGGGCTGGACCTACTTAGCAAGCACTCCAGCAAAGATGAGTTGTCTTGGTACCAAGACCTACGCAGTGCTAAGCAGTGGGCTGTAGTTTGAACAACAGAGAAAAGCATGCTCATACTTGGAGAGCCAAAGCTGAGGGCATTGGGGGTGCTTAAACTTCGGCCTCCAACTCTGGCTGTAAAAGGCATGTCTTCATCTTGGGCTCGGAAATCCTCCTCATTTGGCGGCACCATCAGACAGACGTAAGTGTGAAGCTGAATAAGAAGCCGGTGTTGGAGCATCCATATCACCATTTGAATGAGCTGAGTCTGTGGAGTGAGAAATGAAGTATTAAACAACCATGAAATGAAATACAGGAGGAAAACAGTGCACAAAGGTTAGGCTTTGTGACTAAGAAATCACAAGGAAAGATACTTTCTACGCCACACAACAGCTCTATCTCTTCCTCAATCATAAAAAGGTGACCAGGCACTCATATTCATCACACCTAAACCCTCTGTAGATGCTTCAGCTGTAACCAAGCCTTTAACAATCAACATGGCTTTATGCAACACCGAGCAGCACAGCCAGTGTCCTGTTATGGTTTAGCCATATCAATGTAGCCATACAACCCCACCTGGAGCTGTTCCCTTCTCTTTTAACAAAACAAGTTTAGTAGGTGCTAAAAGAAAATATGGGACAATCTTCCTTCTGAGAGACCAGATAGTGAAAAATGATTCAACCAGATGCAGGCCCTGATGCCTATGGCCGAACAGTGGGAGCCCTGAGACCAAGCTTGCTGGCTTCTACGCAAAGCCAACCCAAACCAGTAATCACTGAAGGGTTAATTCCAGATTGATCATCAGATTGAAGTGCAGTTCCCCTAGAAGGCCAGGGAAAGGGAAGGGTAATGGAGCAGAGCTGAACAACCAAGACAGGTGCCCAGGAGTAGACCCCATTTGCTGTCAGATGGGAAATCGCTGCATAACCATGGGAGAGCCTCTGGAGATCGGAGTCATGCCAGGACTCAGTGATACAGAAATCACTCTAGCAGCAGCCAGAACCCTGGCACGAGACAGCAGCTTGCTGGTGGCCAAGGAGTCCCCTCTCAGTGGAAGGGGTTAATAATCCCTCATTTGCACTCCACCCCTCTACAACAGGACAGGCCAACTTAGAAAAGCACCCAGGTCTTTAGGGTGCAGGCAGGCAAGTTTCTAAAGTGCTGAGAGATGATGCTCGTATAAAAAAAACATGCAAAACACCCCTGTTACAGCAGTTGAAGACCTGCACAATGTCCCCAGAGTGATGCTGAAAACAGCAGGCAGAGTGAGGGACAAAGTGAAGGACAAGTGTTTGTAGGTTCTCGGCATGGCCTATTTTCAGGAGTTTTGAAGGAGCATTCAAAATGCATCATTGTGCCTGAATTTCTGCACAAAAACCCCTTTCATATCACTGCAGGCAACCCTTCCCATAGCTCATGGCTCTGAAAACACTGATTCACTGACAAAAGCTGTTTGGGGATTTCTTAGCAACCAACACTGTTTTGGTGAGAGAAACACAAGCAGAATGAGCTCAGGCTCTGCGAAGGAAGTTAGCTCTGCTGTATTAATCATCGGGATAACAGGCCAAATCTCAATAAAAGCCCGAAACCGAAGTTCATCAGCCCACATAATTTTCCTTTTTCCATAAATCTTGCAATTCCCAGTTCCTCTTCTGCTATCAAATCACAGAAGAAACTTCTGTTTGCAGACAGACCCACACCCTGTCTTTTCAGGGATTGCCGCTTTTGGGGGCTGAATATACTTTAGTCTTAAAGCATACTATCTGGGATTGCCTTCAAACATATCTTTTGGAAAAGCCATAATTCATTTTACATGTTTAATAGCAAACCTACAGAAGAGGAAGGCTGGCGAAAGATACCAAATGCACAGTGTTTTGCTAACATCTGAAATCAGCCTGGGAGAGAGAGGTGGCTTACACCAGTGATTACATTACTGGAAACCTTCATTCCAGATGCAGGCCTGGATGGGAAGATGTCTCATATGTTTTACTCCAGCTTCCAACCTGCACGCAGCAATGTCTGATGAGACAGTTTCACATCAAATGAAAGAGGTCTGCCCATCTCACAGCACAAAGCAACGCTGGAAAATCCAAGACAATTCAAGGAGACAGTAAGACAGGCTCTACCAGAATCTGCTGAGAAGGGCCCGACCTAGACCAGCCTCCACTGGTCACCCTGGTGGCTTCATGAATTACAGAAACAGCCAGTTGCTTTTGTTATAGTTCCATGTGCTTGGGAAGTCTTACCCAATGCTCTCTAACTTTGCATATGCACCTTCACCTCTACAGTCTTGTACAAGTACCTAGAGAGCCACCCCTGAGCCAGCAGCTGTGGCGCACTAGAACAAGAAGCCAGGCAAAAGCGGTGTTACAGCTTTACAACTATAACATGGTACAACCGACGACTACCAAATGCGTTTGTGCTGTGAGAGAGCTGGAGATCAGCTGTGACTATAAGAACTAGAGAAAACTGTGCTTCCATATGGAACTGAGCCTGAACAATCATCTCTAATGATGATCATTGACAGTTATCTGTAATAAGCAAAACTTCAATGGAATTTGGTACCTTTTAAGATCTAGTCCTAGAAAAAAGTGATGCAGTGCCCTGCAACTGACATGATGCCCAAAATGCTGTGCTTTGTGCCATCACTGCTCGTGTGCCTCACACCATTTCCACTTTTTCCAGATTTAAACCTATTTCTTACCAAAAGCAGCAAGTGTTTTCACAGATAAGGTCTAGCAGAGGCTTTGCTAATAATTTCTGCTGCTTGTCCTGGACATGAACACTGAATTTACATCCATTCTCCATCTGCTCCTCCTGAGCTCTGATGCAGCTCAGAGACAGGTCTGCAGGAGAAGAGGCTTCCCTGCACCATCTGTGCCGCGCTGGTTGTCAGAAATGCTCCTCCTCCCTCAGGGTTATCTCTGTGCTTGGTCTATCTGATTAGCTGGGCTCCTTGCTGAAGCCAAAAAGGCTGTGAGTAGCTTCCCAGGCAAGAGTATACTTCAGTCTCAGGACTGGCTCCACTCACTCACTCATCATCTGGCATGGCAGGAATCCATAGCCAGCCTTTGTTGGCTGAAACACCAGGACCGTGACAGAAATATAAAAGGAAACATTTTCTGTTGCTTAATTTAACTACCAGTTAACTCTAAATTTCATCCATATTCCTTTCATCCTCCCCATCTCCCCACGCTCTCCTTCCGGGCTGCTGTGAGGGGGTTCTGTCTGCCTCAGCATCTGGATGGCTCCCACTGGCACAGATCAGCCCAGGGCCACCCCCTTCACCCCCTTCCCCTCGGTGCAGCAGGCCCTGGCAAAGCTGGAGTGTGCTGCCATGCAAGGCGGCACGGAAGGCACTGGCAACAATACACTGCTTTGTGCTTACTGACAAAGGCAGAGAAGATGTGTTAGCTTCTGAGAGCAGGGGCACTGTGCGTCAGCCCATCTGGGCAGTTCGGGACAGTCAGAGGAAAATTCAGCACCAAGTCTTGGGGAGACAAGATCCAGCATCCATAATTCTCTTCCCTCTTGGGAACCAAAGCCTTTGTAATGTGTTAAAATGCATTTCCTGCAAAGATTCTTTAAGGCTGTTTTGTTTCCCAGGCCTAAAAATCCCTAAGGAGAACACCAAGATCTCTGGGACCAGCAACAGGTTCAGGAAAGGGAAAACAGCAACCTAGAAACACTCAATCCTAGCTTGCTTGTCACTACATGAGGATACACTCCTAGTTAAAACAGAGTTTGTTTTACCTACAACAAGGTACACAAGCCCCCTTTCTCCAGTCTGGATCATTTAGTTATTTGACCCATGCATTCTTCAGAGTCTGACCTGAGAACTAAGGGCTGCCTTGGCTCAGTAGGATAGCATCTTCAAAGTCACTGTGGTAAATGGGTGTTTGCTGAAATATATTACCTTCATCATTCAAACCATGCTGGTTTATGAAAAAAAAAGATTGGGTATTAAAACTTCTCCCTGTTTTACAAAAATCAGGCTCTGAAGACCCCTATTAATGTAAGACAAAAAGTTTACTGTCTAACGTTGCTATTAACTGCTTTGAGTTCTCAGCTTAACCATTCCCTCTAGCTAGGTCTAGGCAGACATACTGTTTTGACTTGCCACACTAAAAATCCCTGATTTTATACCTAGTCCAAGTGAATATAAATGTGCCTTAGTACTTCCATACCTCTGCCAACAAAAGCTCCCGTGACTCTTAACACCTTCCAGATGCCCAGCAGAACAGTCCCATTTCCAGCGTTGTCTCTTGGAAGACACAATTGCCTATTCAGTATTTGCATGCAGCTCTCCTCCCTCTCCCATCCCCTGACATACTCACTCATTTTGCACTGAGCTGTTACACAAAGCACAGCACGTTTTCCAGATGCATAAGGCAAAGGCATCATCTACCAGAGCCTTACTCCCAGCAGCATGGCCAGACTTGTTAAAACAGAAGTGAAAAATTAAACATATTTTGTTGAGCAGCAGCTGTCACACTTCCCCATCTGTTTTCTTGTGCAGTTATCCTAGCCCCATCAAGAGAAAATTAGGTAACTACAATAATAACAATGTACGTTATAATAAAGAGCTACTATAGACTGTAGTGAAACGGATGCAGGGAGGAAATGGGATCTCTAATTCACCTAGGTAAACTTCTCCCACATGGGTGGAACTATCCCTCCTGCTAGTCCATGTTTGTTCCTCAAGGCAGGGTAGAGAGATGTTATAGCATCTTCTGAAACAGAAGAACTAGCTGAGGCCATAATGCAGATAAGGGGAAACCACAAGCATTGTCTCTTTCTCTTGGTTTGCAAAGAAACTTAGCAGAGAGTAGCTGGGTGAAGAAACTCTGATACTGTACAAAGAAAGCCTTGCACTGGAAAGCAGGTTAAAACATTGCCATTCATCAGTTGCAGTCCCTAGGACTAAGGTCACCTTTGCAGAAGGTTATGAAGGGGTGTGCACCACACCAGACACCACCAGAGCTCCACTAAGGGATGCTCTGCAGCCACATCAAAGCGAGAGGAGAGCACAGGGACAGAAAACAACAGTCACAGGCAGCATAAGGAAGGACAGCTTCTTTGGGGTCAAGGTAGAGGAGATGCAAACTGCTGCTTTTCCAGTAAAAACACTAAAAGCAAGATGAGTTTCCTTGTATCAGCTCACAGGATCTCCTCTCTCCACAGCTGCACCCTAGTGAGATCCAGCACCAGCATCATGAGCTAAACTGGCTGCTGTTCAAGGCAGTGCCAGGCTACCTTGAATTGCTGTAAGTCCAGGTGACACTACACAGCACGGTGGAGCTAACAGGCAACTCACTCCTGTGGAAAGGGGAAAATTATTCTGCTTTCCTCACTCACATCTGCAGCTGCAGCAGTGCCTCCCTCATTCTGCACCAGCCCTGGAGCCTGCTGATCTCCTCCTGAGCAAATTCCACCTGCTAACCTGGCAGAAAATTAGTGCTGCTGAAACAAGTGAACCGAGTCAAGCTGGACAGGAGCCAGAGCTCTAGTGCAAAGGGAAGAGGGACAGGAAGAAGGCATGTGTGCACACCTGAAAGTGGAAAGATAAAACTGGGCCTCCTCTCAACAGCACTGAGATATCATTAGATTGGCTGAGCTGGGCACAGGCTCATCCTCTCGCTGTTGCAACACTGCTATCCAAGCAAGGCAGGTTAAACACAGAGAGAAAGGGAAACTAGCATAGAGATATATAAATACCAAAATCTTTTCAAATTATAAGTACCAGACCACTCACAGATACACAACAACCACAGAGTTCAACTGCAATATACTGCTTGTTATCACAGGTAAGAAAAGATCAAGATGACAGGCTCAAGAATTCCTGTCTCCAGCACAGGCATGGCTGAGAGCACTGGTGGTCCTGGCAGATACTGCTCACTGGAAAGGTTCTACCTACTTAATAGACAGACATCAAAAGCAGAATGTAGACATGCACTCCATCTTTCAAGGCAGTCTTGTCCTTGCTCAGGATGTTTCAGGTTGTTTGTACCTATTACCAGGCAAAAAATACCACAGCACTCCAAGTACAGAAATGCCAGTGTCATCACTGTACCTCCCCAAAGGAATGGAGCAATTTTACTTATATAACAGTAAGTAAACAGAAATAACTTTGTCCTCTTTCAAGTCAATCAGTATGACTTTGTATACAAACAGGAGGAAGGGCTCTTTAACAGCCTTCCTAGTTTGTACCATGTTTTATTAATGCCTTCTGTATTTTCTGCCCATCGAGAAGCACATGCCAAAAGGAGAGAGCCAATCCCATGCTTAAGACAAGAATCAAATGGGATGGATGCCATGAGACCATAACAGTTTCTGCAGAAAATACAGTCCTTCCCACAGTACTGACTCCTAGCAAAGATGACCTTCAGAAAGAGAGACAATATGGTCAGTTTGATGAAAAGCATAAGATAACAGAATACTAGTGAAAATCTTCAAAGTTAAAAAACCCCATCCCCTCCTATGTGCACAAAGAGCAAAACTTCAGTGAAAGGTCCCAACTTTGGGATTTTTTTCATCCAAAGGCAAAGCAAATACAATTTGACAATATTTACAGTTCGGAGTACAGCATCGTTTATCACTACACAGCAGAACACAAACCCACCCACATTCCATCAGGTTAACTGCTGTATTGACTAGACCTCTCTTAATTACAATTGAACTAGTCACTTCAGGACAGGACTGGATTCATCACTCTAGTTCCTAACAAAAAATAACACAGGCATCAAAGTAGAAGAAAATGTACTGATATAGAAACATCTAAAAAGTCTCCCTAATCTAAACTCCAGCAAGAACTGCCATACTTAGCTTTATCAAAAGCTGAGTTGCCGTGGCTCAGAACAGCTCACCAGGGTACAGTGAGCTCCTTCATCTTCACACACATGCCCGGCCAATGTGGCCCTGAACCTTCTGCAATCACAGTTCTCATCTCCCCTTTTCAGACTGTAGAAGGCACTTCCATAGTTTTTCACAGCATCATCCTTCATCCTACTATACACACTGAAATGAGGATTGAAAACAAGCCGTGCTGCTGACCTTTAAGACCCTACCACAGATGGGTGAGCATCAGAGAGTAGGTGCACACTCTAAAACAGCCATTTTAACACTCCAGTAGCTCTATCAAACACTGAGTGTGCACTGTTGTTTCAAGGCATAACTGCAGCAAAGAGGCAGACTTTACATGCTTTAAACAGTAGGACGTCTTAGAGCAACCAGAAGTGTTGAAAGAGAAGTATTAAGGCAAGTAATTAATTTTAAAGGCAGTACTGGGAATAAGGATGACTCCTGAAGCTACTACAGCTAGAATAAAATTAATGCTATTAATTCAGCTTCAATCTTCAGGACACTGAACTGTCTGTAACTACAACAAAGTACTGGCAAAACAGCAAAACTGCTCTTCCCCTGCCTCCCAAGATGGCAGCTGACCAGTACATACTGTTGGGATTAGACTCTACATCGCTTCTTATCTTTATCTGATCATAATCTCTACCTACCTGTAATTACAACAAATACTTCTCTAACAGTTGTGCCTGTGTGTGCAACTGATGTTAATCTTCCAGATATTTGAACAGTGGCTTAATTCATATAGCCAGCAAGTCATCAACGTATGAAGGCTAGAAAACAACACTACGAGAAACAGCTAAAGAAATCTGCCTGTGCTTCCTTTGCTACATTGTGATGTGTTCAGAGGTCCAAGCTCCTTCACTGGGGAATACAAGTGTCAGCCAGGAGACTTCACATTGTTGAGCTCTTTCTTGAATTTCACCAGTTCCCAGAAATGCTGCAAGCCATAAGCAAAACAACAGCTCACAAATCCAAAATACATATATTATTATCCAAAGTCTGAGCATTAAAATACTAATGTTGTAACACATGGACTTCTGTTGACTACATGCTGAGTCTACTTCCTCTAACAGCCTTTAAACAATTCCAGTTTCATAGCAAAAGCTAAGTGAACAGACAGTTTGCTTTTAAAACCAGATTGTGAACTTAAACCAGATGGAATATGATAAAATTAAATGTGATTGTGAGGAATCCACAAACTTGCACTCAGCCCTACTAATTTATGACAGTTTTCAACAGACCAAATGGAGTTTCAGTTTTCCCTACAAAATCACTCGAGGAAAAGAAACATTCTGATTTTTCTTTTAGGATGTGCTTTGCTAGCACACAGCATCCGCACAGCTTCACCTTCAACATCCCCAATGCTTTTTGGCATGCAAATAGGAAACAACAAATGATAAGGTTGGAAACACAGTAATTGGCAACTTCTAAACCTATGATAGCAGGTTCCGGACTAAGTACTCCAGAAGCAACACTATTCCTTGTTCTCATTAGCAGAAGAACAAGGAATTCTTGTACATTCTCCATCTCACCTCCTGAACAGGTGGCGCGAGTGGGTTCTTGAACTCCGAGAGTGACACTGGAAGGGAGAACTTGGAAAGAATTGACGGCAGGTTGTGCCCCCGGAACTGACAAGAAAATGCATCTGCTAAAGGAGAGTAACTGCAGAAAAAAGACAAAGACAGAAATCAGTTTTAGATTGCTGGTCAGTGCAACATTTATCCACTTAATCATTACAGAAGTACCAATTCCCAAATGAACATTGTGTGATCTACAAAAAACAGTAAGTAAGGATAGTTTATGGCATGCTGCATCCTGCAAAAGTAAGCAAGAAGCATACGCACTTTCATCTTGGCACTGCATTCGGGTGCAGTACAGTATTCAAGGTGTGGAGAGAATCCAGAAGAGAAAAATAAAAATGAAAAAAAGTCTAGACCTGCACAGTCTCTGATCAAAGGAACAGGGACTGGGCAGTCAAGACAAGACAGGGATGAGCAGCATATAATACAAGCTTTGAATGTGCAAAACGCAACTGCAGATGTGACTGCTCTCCCTGACTGCTGACAGGACAAGCAATATGACTGATCAGAAGTAAAGGAGAGTCAAGTTAAATATTAGGAACACTTTTTGACTTAGGATTCCCATCTACAAAGGTCTTCAAGAACAGCACTGCCATATACAGCACAGGAACAGCTGTTCCTGAATGATCTCCAGGTCCCTTCCAGCTCTATTTTTATAATCCCATCAGAGAAGTTTTGATTTAAAACTATTTTCCTATAACTGAGTTCCAACACAGATTCTAGAAATATCTCAAAGCCCAACACAGTAAGAGTTGCCAATCTTCAGCAGAGTAAAAATACCCACCACTGCCTCCACATCTTCCTTGCTTTGCTGCTGCCTGCTCTCAAAATGGCCACATTGCGTTCTGGCTGTCAGAAGGCTTACCAGTGGAAAATGCCATCATACAAAACAATAGCGATAGCAACCCTAGCCTGATTTGCTACTTTTGATTACTTTCAGATGATGCTGTGTGCCAGATACACAGATACTCCTATGAAACACTCATTTATTTAACATCATAAAGCATTTTGTTTTGTGAACGTTTTCATATTGTTTCAGGTTCATACAGCCTTTCTGATATGGGCATTTGGAAAGCAAACGTACTAAATACTAGAAGTAGCCTTAAAAGGTAAATATTTCCAAAAGCCCACATCACTGCAGAAGTGTATCTGCAGTGCATATCTGCACTTACCACCACCTTGTTGCCACAGTAACTCATTTTCCTTCTACTTACAGACAGACACTGGCGTTTGGAGAAAGCATGTAGACATTGTTTTCACACAGTGGATAAATAATAATTGCTTTTCCCCAGTAAACGAGATGTGCAGCAAGCTGGAAAACCTGCATGGAGAAAACAGGGAAAGATTAGGTGAGCAAAAGTAAAATTCAGACTCTCAGCAGGAGTTCCACACAATGACAGAAGAGTTGTGTTTGTGCTGAAATGAAAGAACGTTCTATCCCTTCATCCTGCCTTCAGAATAAATTCACGGTTTAATATAACATGTGGCACATCAAAAAGCATTTGACAAGGTTATGAATTTCCAAAGGTTCGCTTCACATTTCTAAGTAACTTAGTACTTCCTGCCTTAAAGGAATTTTCTTCATGCTGTATCAATAGAAGTTTAGTTACTTTTCATGCCCCAAAACCTTATTTCTGTTTGTGCACAAAATGCATTAAGTGTTACACATGAAAAATAAAATAAAAGAATCAGCCTCTACTATGAGGCAAACATAAAGGAAACTAACACTGCCTTTTTAATGCACTGAGATATTTCAGTAATGAGCTACACAAAGTATTTTAATGTGTTAAACAAGTCAGTGGTTGTTAATGGCTCTGGAAGAGCCACATAAATAGCATCTAGGAGACATAAAATCCAGCCTGTATCATTAGAGGCATTTAACTTTGCTTTTTTGTGGAGAATAGAACTACAGAAGCAGTAGGGAATTTCCAGAGTTCATCCCACAGCTATATAATGCCAAGTAACACCACAGACCACTCTAAGCAGGCCTAGAAATTTTATTACAAAACAGGGCCTTCCCCTTCAAATAAGAAAAGGTGCACACCTACAACCACGAGCATCTGAGATGACAAGCCATGCTCTCCCTGTCACACAACGCATAGGTCATGTCCCCAAGTCTGAATCTACTATAATCATCACACCTGACAAGTAAAGGGCCACAATGAGCAGAGTCATCCACATCTCTCAGTGGTCTCTTGTCTCCCATGATTGCCAGAGTCTCATTCCCTCCACTGGCACAAGGGAAAACGACAGGTAGATTTGCATGGGCCTTCAGCACACTTCAGTAGAAAAGACCTTCACAGATCCAGGAGAAGTAATGTGTTTGGCCATGGCAGCTGTAAGCTTTCACTTGTATTTTGGATACCTCCATTTGCACATAGACGTCAAGATGGCAGAACCAAGACAAGACCACTGTGGTGTAAGTCAAGAGTACTATTTGCTCTGGGTTTAGCTACCTAATGGAAGGGCACAGAGAAGACAGAGCTGTTCTCCTCAGAGGGGCACAGGGAGGGGACAGAAGGCAATGCACACAGGACGGAAGATGGGAAATTCCCATTACATAGAAGCAAAGTTTTTACTCTGATGCTGGTCAAATGCTGGACCAGGGCCCAGAGAGGCTGTGGGAGGTATCCCTGCAGGTACTGAGAATTTGAATGGACAAGCCCTGCGCAGCCCGCTTTACTGGGCTTGCTCTGAGCAGTGGTGTGGACTGGAGACCTCCAGGCACCCCTGCTACTCCACAGCAATCTGCAGCTTGGGTACAGCTACAGGACTGTTGAGTGCTCTCCCTGCACCACTGTCCTTCATTTCTCCAGCCCTTCCCCATGTGAGCTCTAAGGCTCACGCTTTCTCTGTGCACTCTGCTCACGCTGACAGAACTGACATGCTCACGTACCACAGAAAGCCCTGGCACACAGAAAGAAAACTCCTCATGATTTAAAAGGATTTCAGCTGCTGCTGACAGTTCCCCATACCTGCAGCAATGCCAAGTCAGCATCTTGAGCCAGTTGCTGCAAATTCTTCACAGCAGAGGTAGTTTTAATTACTCTCACCAGGGCAGGAGAGCAGTCCAATGGGAGCTCATTAAGCAATGACTTCTCATCATTTAAAAGTAATAAGGCATGGTAGGGCCTGCAGAAAAATAGAATACATTTGCACAGTAAACTACAGCTTTTCCTGAAGGCTTAGTTATTCCCAGACCATGATTCCTGGGGTCAATCTACTGGTAAAAAAACGAGCTTCTAATCTCATCCTTTTGGTGTAAGTGGTTCAGAATAAGCTTCTTTTTATGTCACAAAGTAAGGCACTCCCTATAAAAAAGGGTAAGGGTTATATGGTAACTGGATGCCCCAGAGACTAGAAAAAAAAGACTGCACTGTGCTAGCATGCAATTAAGGCTGGGGAACTAGTCTGAAAACTGCTCATCTGCACTACTGAAATACAGAATGGAGTAAAAGCAAGAATTAGTTACTTTTGCAAGTAAAAAGCTGTAAACATGGAATGCCAGAAATAAGATATCACAGGGCCTGGGCTCTCTTTCTTCTAAAAGCAATATTACTTCTGGGTCAGATTAAAATGAACACGCAATTCCTGTGACTGGAAAGAGCACAAACCTCTCTTGCAGCATCACCTCAGTACAACCACCTAATACTAAGGCAAAGGCTGTTGCTTCATACCACCACATACACAGCAGCATTATGGTACCACAGCAGAAGATTCAAGGGAACCCTGTCTCAGCCCGTGCCACCAATGCTACAGCTCAATTCACATCATCTCCCCAGCTCTGCCAGCACAGACATTTGTGGCACCACACCTGGAACTAAAGAAGGGCTCGCCTCAGTCTGAAGGACAGCTTGCACTTACCTGATGGATTTCAGGCTTCTTTCAATTGCTTCAGGGGGTATAAAGTTTGTGGCAACATAATGGATTTTATGAGGCAGGCAGAAACTCACTTCCAGCCAGTTGTTGATATGTAAACGGACCACCCCTGTTGTGCAGAGACTAAAATAGGATGAAAATAAATACATACAGCATTTACTGTGTATAACAATGAAAACAGTGATCCAGATTCACCACTGCACAGGAATCACATCAGCACAAGAAAAGGCTGAATGTACCCTATCTATCCTCAGACTGGCTGTGCACCAGCTGATTCCTAGCTACAAGTGCTTCCATAACTTGTACTTACAGAACATTATCCCCAGTGAGACTTTGGAGGGATCAGAAAGACATGACCCCACTGATCTTCTGCTCCCTCTGCTCTTAACATTGCAGCAGTATCCCAAGATAAGAGTTTCCTGAAAAAACTACTGCAAGGCAGAGATTTGCCTAGAACAGAGCTGCAAAGGGCAAAGATGAATTGGGCACAATATTTTCACCTCCAATTTCCATATTCCTCTCCAAGAAGAAAGAAAAGGAGATGTCTGTACCGGGCAAGGGGTGTTACAAGCAGCACATTTCCATAGTAACGGACTCCTTCGGTTCTGCTTAGGTTGTTTATTTCCTACTAACCTGCTCCAGCTTGTCACATGAAATCACAGACGTGCTTGGTTAAATGGCTTCTTCATTCTAGGAAACCACAGGGACTAAGCTAAGCCTTTAAGCTGAGTTCAGACAACAGGACTGGAGTGGAAATTACGGACATCTCAGGAATGACAGTAAAGTCTGACACTGATGTTCAGCCTGAAAGCAACTATAAGCCTCTTTCACTGAGAAGAGGGCCTAAAATGCAGTTCTGAAGTTTGCACTCTGACAATTCCAGTCTGAATTTTAAATTCAAGAGTGCTGAGACTTGCAATACGACTTTTGTGTCAATAACACCCATGAATTTCCCCTCTACACAAAGCTATTTAACAACATGACAGGAACACGCCGGGAGCAAATACATGCCTTGGAAACTCTTTATGTGGTGATTTCAACATTCTACCTAGCATTCAATTGCAGACCACAAACTAACATGCTCTTTTTGAAGTTCATCTGGTTGGATACAGGCTTTAGAGAGACCTGAAAGTTCAGCTTTGAAACAAAAACACTGGGCAGCTTTGGCTGCCGGTATAACTATTCGCCAAACCACAACAGAGTGGTGAGAGAACACACATGATCCTGTCCTGCTCCGTGCATGATCAGACTTATTAGGGGCAATCTCACTGCAGACAATGCTTTTCAAAAGCAGAGGCTGTGGTTTTGTTCTCAGATCTTGCAGTGACCTCCAAAAATACTGATTTTTCAAGTTGCAAATAAAGTAGCTATTACGTATGTTTTCCTTGAGAGGATGAATCCACCGTCGCTCTGGCACTACCACCTCACATCAGAATAGAGGCTCCAAACCCTGAAGGAACATGCAAAGCACAGCAAACGCCTCCATTTTTCTTGCATTAATGCAAGAAAACCAGTAACACTGCTTATCCCACCAGACATATACCAACTGACAGATAAAGCTGGATTCTCTCAAAACACATCAAGATGAAGGGCACCCTAAGGCAGGAGTTATATGTGCTATCTACCAGGCCAAATACTCACAAGGGAAGACCTGACAATAAATGAACGTGGCAAGTGAGATAAAAGACTACCTGGAAACTACTGGGGTTGTTAAAACAGGTTACCAAAAAGCAGCAGAGATACATGAAAACATGAAACACTTGCAGGGATATTTTCCCTGCACAGTTTAACATTCAGGAAACAGAAGAAAATACAGTCGGTTCCTTTCATTCTTCAGTCCAAGTGCACCAAGGCAGAAGCTTTAATTAGATAATTACACTCCCTGCAGCGTAATTTTGTCTGCAGTGCAATATACACGGGTCTAGAATTAAAGACAACAAGAAAACTAGATTTTCAGTTCTGATCTGGATCTTAATTTCATTCTTCTACCTTTGCATTCAACTGTACAATTTCAAGCCTTCCTTATAGCTTTATGTACATGGTTTCTCCTTCACTTGCCCCTCCTTAGATGGAAAATAACTGAAGTCTTTAATAATTTGACAAGGAGCAAGCTACGTTCTCCAGCAGCAATGTATGTGACTGCCCTTAGCCAGCCAATGGAGTTGAGTGATTTTACCAATAGGTACATAAAGATTCTAGCAACATGAAATACAGTCAAGCCACAGAAAATGAAGTTTGGATCCACATTTACCTTCATTTTACAGATCCTCCATGAACTCATCTGTTTAGCAAGCCTTTTTACTGTGAGCCTCACAAATCTCCATGAGCTGGCCTCAAGTGCTTTGGCTGGGGACCAGCAGACAGAGAAGCCACCTTCTTTTAGAGGCAGAAGCAGAATGGCAAAAACCAGCAACAGAAGAGAAAACCAAGAAAATAAGTTTCCAAAGTCACACTGGGGAGTAACCTACCTCCTATTCTACTTTATTCTTCTTAACTAACTCAAATTGTGGAGCAGAGTCCAGAAAGATGCAGGACTGTGGGAAGGTGAGAAGACTGCATCGGCTGCATTGCACACCATGAGCCTCAGGAACACAGTTTAAGTAGCCCCTGACAGGAAACCTACAATTGCACAAAGGTGCAGTAGGTACACCAGGAATTTGCAGAAGGCTCTTTTGTTCATTGCTGCTTTCCCAGCTACTCTCACATTTTATGGGGATTTTCTGCAGTGTTCCTGCACCCTGAGCTTTTTCACTGAGTTGACATTTTCACTAAATTATCTGCTGTAATTCCAAAAGCTCTTTTCAGAGCAGTTATGGCCTATATAAAGGTTGTTTGGCCTTACATGCCCACTGCTCCATCAGTTAACTGGTATCCAGAGACACTGCTGCAACTTTTCCTTTTCCCACAGACTTCGAGAGCAACTAGGCAAAAATAGCTTCACTCCACATACTCCAACTGCCTGTTAAACCCTCAAAGGCATTCCACCTTATCCCAGAAAAACTTAGTTTCAACACTTAAAAAAAATGTAAAAAATCTCTGGTTAGATAATACATGAGGAGCAATACTGAGGGATAAGGAGAGGGGATATCATAGTCTAAAACTGACACAGGGAGAAGACAACAAAAAAAGCTGTTCAGTGTCTCTATCATAGGACTTATGAGACATCTCATGATACTAAAAAGAGCAAAGTTCAAAAGAAATAGAAAGAAACACAGAAACTAGTGAAGGCATGGACCTCCTTATCAGGGGATGCTGCAATGGTTAAATATTTACACTGGCTCACAGGACTGTGGACTAATTCCGGGAAGTGAATATACAGAAACCACCTCCAAAGCTGTAAGAACCTGAGGAATAATTTTGGGAATATCACTGCTCTTTTGTTCTATTCTGCTCAGCCCTGAGCAGCAACTGTGAGCCACTGCCCCAAAATGGGAACCCAAAAGCTGGCCCATAACCCACAAAACTGCAATATTCTTTTCGTAACTATTGGCAAAACAAAGATAATCCCATCTCATATTTTATGAAATTTTAAACATACACAAACCGGTTTATGTCTATTCTATTTATATCAGAAATTAATAATGTTTTCTAGTTTAGTGCTGGTAAGCTTGTAGCTCTGGAGTTTATTTTTGCTACAAGTAGATGGTCGAATTTGAGATCCTCAGGACAGTGAGAAGAGCTTGCAGCAAGCTCACTGCCCTGGACTTCAAAAGAGCAGATTCTGGCCTCTTCAGGAACCTGCTTAGTAAGGTTCCATGGGATATAGCCCTAGAGGGCAGGGGGGCCCAAGACTCTTGGTTCATATTCAAGGGTCAGCTGATACAAGCTCAGGAGTGTTGCATCCCAACTAGAAGGAAGTACAGCAGGAGGGCCAGGAGATCTCCTTGGATGGATAAGGAGCTGCTGAGGAAAATTCAAATGAAGAAAGAGGCTTATAAAAGGTGGAAGCAAGGACAGGCGGCCTGGGAAAGTACAGGGATGTTGCCCGGGAAGCTAGGGACCAGGTTAGGAAAGCTAAGGCCCAATTAGAATTAAACTTGGCTAGGAATATTAAGGATAACAGGAAGGGATTCTACAGGTACGTAGCAAATAAAAAACAGACTAGGGAGAACGTAGGCCCCCTCAGGAAGCTCTCAGGTGAACTAGCTACACAGGATTTGGAGCAGGCTGAGGTTCTGAATGACTTCTTTGCCTCGGTCTTCACTGGCAAAGGCTCTGACCACACCACCCACGTTTTGGAAGGCAGATGCAGGGACTGTGAGAATGAAGACCTTGGGCCCACTGTAGGAGAGGAACTGGTTCGAGACCATCTTAAAAATCTGAACGTGCACAAGTCCATGGGTCCTGATGAAATCCATCCGCGGGTCCTGAAGGAGCTGGTGAATGAAGTTGCTAAGCCGCTGGCCATCATATTTGAGAAATCATGGCAGTCAGGTGAAGTTCCCGATGACTGGAAAAAGGGAAATATAACCCCCATTTTCAAGAAGGGAAAATGGATGACCCGGGGAATTACAGACCAGTCAGTCTCACCTCTGTGCCTGGCAAAATCCTGGAGCAGATTCTCCTGGAAGGCATGCTAAGGCACATGAAAAACAACAAGGTGCTTGGTGACAGCCAGCATGGCTTCACTAAGGGGAAATCCTGCCTGACCAATTTGGTGGCCTTCTATGATGGGGCTACAGAACTGATGGACAGGGGTAGAGCAGCTGATGTCATCTACCTGGACTTGTGCAAAGCATTCGACACTGTCCCACACGACATCCTTGTCTCTAAATTGGAGAGACATCAGTTTGATGGATGGACCACTCGGTGGATAAAGAACTGGCTGGATGGCCACACACAAAGAGTTGTGGTCAATGGCTCAATGTCCAGCTGGAGAACAGTAACGAGTGGTGTCCCTCAGGGGTCTGTGTTGGGACTGGTCTTGTTTAACATCTTCATCGCTGACATGGACAGTGGGATTGAGTGCGCCCTCAGCAAGTTTGCCGATGGCACAAAGCTGTGTGGTTCAGTTGATAATGCTGGAGGGAAGGAATGCCATCCAGAGGGACCTTGACACGCTTGTGAGGTGTGCTGATGCCAACCTCATGAAGTTTAACCATAGAATCATAGAATCATAGAATAGTTAGGGTTGGAAAGGACCTTAAGATCATCAAGTTCCAACCCCCCTGCCATGGGCAGGGACACCTCACACTAAACCATATCACCCAAGGCCTCGTCCAACCTGGCCTTGAACACTGCCAAGTGCGAAGTCCTACACCTGGGTCGGAGCAATCCCATGCACAGCTACAGGCTGGGCAGAGAAGAGATTCAGAGCAGCCCTGCAGAGAAGGACTTGGGGGTGCTGGTCAATGAGAAAATGAACATGAGCTGGCTTCAGTGTGCGCTCGCAGCCCAGAAAGCCAACCGTATCCTGGGCTGCATCAAAAGGAGCATGACCAGCAGGTCGAAGGAGGTGATCCTGCCCCTTTATTCTGCTCTCGTGAGACCTCACTTGGAGTATTGTGTGCAGTTCTGGTGTCCTCAACATAAAAAGGACATGGAACTGTTGGAACAAGTCCAGAGGAGGGCCACGAGGATGATCAGGGGACTGGAGCACCTCCCATATGAAGAAAGGCTGAGAAAGTTGGGGCTGTTCAGCCTGGAGAAGAGAAGGCTGCGTGGAGACCTCATAGCAGCCTTCCAGTATCTGAAGGGGGCCTATAGGGATGCTGGGGAGGGACTCTTCATTAGGGACTGTAGTGACAGGACAAGGGGTAATGGGTTAAAACTTAAACAGGGGAAGTTTAGATTGGATATAAGGAGGAAATTCTTTCCTGTTAGGGTGGTGAGGCACTGGAATAGGTTGCGCAGGGAGGTTGTGAATGCTCCATCCCTGGCAGTGTTCAAGGCCAGGTTGGACGAGGCCTTGTGTGACATGGTTTAGTGTGAGGTGTCCCTGCCCATGGTGGGGATTTTGGAACTTGATGATCTTAAGGTCCTTTCCAACCCTAACTATTCTATGATTCTACTTAAAGCTTTGAAATGATTTCACATTTCCTTGTAAAGAAGACACTGACCATCCTTTGATCAAGTAACGGTAGTTGGTTTATATTTTACAGTACAGCCACACAAATCACAACTAATAATTCATTAAATCTCATAGAAGTATTCCAGTTCTCCCTGAGCTGCTGATATGGGCTAGATCTACCAGTCAGTTCAAATCCCACTAAGCTAAAAATGTATAAAGGCTCTTTACATGTTAAAAGGAAGAAATAAACAATCCTCCCCCAAAACCTCCCCATAATTTCACTTTTATTCCAGTTATAAAGCTAAAGAGAGGTTTGCTAAAAACAGGCAGGCAGTTAGCTAGTATCAAGCCAACATACTATCTGCAGTTGCAGATAAAACTTGGTAAAAGTTGTCTTAACTCCCTAAACTAAAGGCTGGCTTAAAAGAGATACCAATTTTAAAACTGGTCAATTTGTCAGCACTGGAAGTACTGGCAACTGGACTTTCTTGGTCCTAAAGCCAATGCTTTTTGTTCCATACCAATGCTGAAGTTTGGGGACATGATAACAAGACTCTCAAATCTATTTTCTGAACCAATACAAAAGAAACATTCCAGTTTTCTCCACTAGAGTCAAAAAAAGGTCCCAGGATTTAGATGCTGATTACTCCTGAACTGTCAATTTAAGAATACTCCATTTGTATAGCAGCAGTAGTGTTACAGTCAAGATGACCTGGTTATTGATTCCTGCCTTATAAATTACAGGCATTTCATTCAAAACACAAAGGACACTTTGATTCGCATAGTTGTGGTTTTGTACAAACCAACTTGCCAAGGGACATGTTAGGTCTTGCCTGAAATACCTCAGCACCACCTACAGGAAAACAAGGGCTAGACAGCACCTTTGGAGCAAGGGAGATAATTCAAGAGGCCTTCCACTGGAACTGCAGAAATCAGCAGACAATAGGAAATGCTGGTTTGAGCAAATCTCAGATGGAGAGCCGCATTCCCATCTGCAATTCAAAGTGCTCTCTCCATTTTACTATGCTGTTACTTTATGCCAGAGGCTATGCCAGAAATCTCTGTAAATTTAAAACAGCACATTGTCACTGCATGCATCTGAAGACTTGCCGTTCCCAGCAGCCTTTTCTCCTCTAAAACAAAGACCAAATCTTTCGATCTTTCCTCTTAGGTCATTCACACTCCTCCACACTCTCGAATCCTTCTCGAGATGTGGCTTCCAAAAGTGGATACAATATTCATTACAGCAGGAGCTTTCCAATCCTGAATATGATTGATTCCTAACTTACAGTTGAGAGTCTTGTTCCATGCATTCTTGTCTATTTGCTCTTTCTGCAACCCCATGTCACTTGTGACTAATCTTCATTTCATAGAAGACCACACAGGCTCTACTCTGGAGCTGCTGCCACACAGGAATTCTTCATCTTGCAGTTGCAGAATAACAAAAAATCCTATTTCTAGACTTTTTCTTCTACCTTAAAAATAACCCCAAACAAACCCCTTTTAATTCCATGCCTGCCTGGCAGGGTGCTGCAGCCCCTCTCAACTGAGCTGAGTACAGGTATAATTAAGTGTATTTCCTCTTCTCTTGCATACAGTATTAATGGCAAAATACTGCAGAACAGCACCTTATTACCCAGCCAGCCAACAACACTGTTAACTACTCTTCAAATACAGCTTTCCAATAAAATGCACAGCCATTTTGTATCTTTATCAACACCTTATTTTTTACATTTTCTTACTACAATTTCATGCAAAAGTGTCAAAATTTAACTGGTACTGCTGCCCTCCCTCTCACAATGCCTGAATGAGGGAGACACTTCCTTCTGTTACATCTTGGGGGCAGCACCAACGTGTGTTTCTCTGTGGTTAGTCTATGTCAAGGAAGGGCCATATTAGCACACTCCATGTTCCTCCAGTCACAGCTAAATGCCACAAGATGTCACTGTGTCGCTAAAATGTTCGGAAACAAGATCAGGATTTGCCTAATGCACAAACACACAGCCCCAGAGGAACAAAAAAAAAGTAACTAGTAGGTGAAGTTTAATGTTAGAATTACAGGCTGCATAGAAAGTGCCTTATTTTAAGCTTCAGTACAGGTCTGATGTGAGTTGTAAGGGACAATATACAACATGCCTTCCAAAGAAGCTGAAATTCACAGGTCTTGAACATAACAAAGCACAGCTTACTGTTAAGTGTTATAATGTGCATTGCAATCATTAAATTACTTAGGCTTTCAGTGCCTTACCTTATAGGCCCTTGTGATTATACCCTCTGTACAAGGGGAAACGCAATCGAGGGAGTGTAAAGGGTTTGTCTAATATCATATAATGTGCTCTACAGTCAATCAGGGAACTCCAGCATAACTCTCCCAAGCCCTTACAAACACCCTACTCAAAGGGCACATCATCTTCCTTCCCACTACAACCTTCTGTGCTCCTTTGTCAAGGTCTTTCAGCAAGTGCATGTTGTGAGCGGAAGTATTTGCTCTGCATGAGGAGTCTGCACTGACAAGTTCTCAGAGCCGAAATACACTGGAGGAGGCTGGTGCCAGCTCCTGCTGAAATTCAGCACTAACTCCACACTCCTTTGAAATCCTTGCCAGAACTTCTAATCCAGTCAAGAAACAGCATGTTACACTTTTCATTCTGCTGAAAGTCCCACTACCTAATGCAAATATACTGTTCAGACATGCACAGTGTAACCAAATGAAGCCAGGGCAGTATCTGACTTGCCATCAGTGCTAGATGCAGCATTTTTCTCTTAGCTACAGGTTTAGAGCATTACAGCAATATGATATTCATATTATGACACTTTCCAATGCCACAATTCACTTATCATTATGCGCCTCTGTGCTAAGGAAGAAAATAATTCTTAAAAGTTGTTTTTATGAAAAGTTTTATGAACCAAAACATACCCAAAGGGAGACCGAGGTAATGATTACAATAGCAATTCTGCAAACAAAATATTTCACCTTACAGCTAGACTTCACATTGCTCCTCCTGGTCTAAAACCCTAGTCCCAGTGAGTCAACAGCATGAAGAGGCAGATAAGATCCTAAAGAACAAGACGAAGAGAAGCAGCATCCCCACTTACCTGTCATATGTCTCTTTGAGATCTCTGGCCAGTTTGCACTTGGGTAGAATGTGATGAAACGGTGACTGTGGCCCTTCTGTGGCTGTGGGAAGTTTTAAAACAAGAAAGCAAAGAACTGATTTCAAAGGAAAGAGCATGTCCTCTTCCCCCACTAGGTATCACCCAGTACCTCAGGGACAGAATCCATTTAATCTACAATCTACATCCTTGTTTAATCTACAATCATCTTTGCAATAACTCAAGTCACATGTTAAAATAATAGCAAATTATTGCCAGCTTCTCCTAAACCTCAACTCAGTAAAACATGTAACCATGAATTTGACAAGTGATGATTTTAAATGTTTTGGGGTTTATGCATGTTAGTTTTATTTTTTAATGCTTGCAGCAAGATGATGCATCACTGTCAGAGTTCACCTTAAATACTCCATATTATTATAGTAAATTGCTCTGAAGTACAGGCTGTAATGATGCTCTGTAACTGTTTACTAGCTATGGTAACAACATGTAAGAGTAAAGTTTTCACACAAGAAACCTGGTGACGCAGCACACAGCATTAAAGCATGGGAAATTTGCTCTAGGTTGGGTGAAGCAGGCTGCATATGAGTTCTTCCATCTCAGCCTGACAGGCAGATCCAAATGTGATGGTTCAGTGCCCATTCATTCTCCAGTGACTGCGCTGAACTGAGCTAGCGAGGGAAGTGAACAAGCTACTTCGCTTCTAAAGCTGACATATCTGCAGACGGATAGCGATCTTGGATGAGGAAAAATGCCGTCAAAAACTGTCAGAATGCTAAAGAGCACCAAAACTTGTTCATACTGATCCCAGCCACAAAAGGAGTAAGAAGGCACAATCAGCACTTTTTGAAGAAGTGCTCCTGGACAAATACATTCCTGCACAAAGCTAAGCTTAGCACGTACTTTCTGACATGGCAGACACTTCATCCTGAATAGCTAAGATCAGCTTGGCCTCCCTGGTCAGGTACTGGCAGCGGCGCTCCTCGTGCTGCAAGACTATGGCGATTCTTCGGGAAAGATTGTGTAAGCAGTTTATGACAGAGGGATCTGCATTGGCCTACAGGCAACACAGAAAAGAAACAGGTCAGTCATTCAGACAATCACATATACAAAACTACGGTCATGGGTAAGCAGTCAAAAAGCCAGGCTGGATGAGGCTTTCAGCAATCTGAACTACTGGAAAATATCCCTGCCTATGGCAGGGGGATTGGATCCAGGTGGTCTTTAAGGTCCCTTCCAACCCAAACCACTCTGTGATTCTATGAAAATAATTATCTTCAGTAGATATCAAAAGTCAGTCTCTTTGGCAATCAGAAAAAGCAAGGCATTTTCTCTAGCAGCAACAAAGCAGAAAGAGATGTCCAAAAGTAAAGAGAAGACTCTGGGATTTCTACACTTGTCTGTGCATCAAACAAACACAGTACCTATAGTATGAAACTCCTATCTGGTTATTTCTTCCAGTTGTTAATGGGCCTAATGAGTTCTGCTAGCAGAGACCAAAGAACTCAGTTTCATACAGCAAGAAAATAGTGTCAAGCTATTTGAAAAGGCAGAATGTCTTGATGTTCAGGTTAAATTCACCAGCAGTGTGAGGACTGCAGTGCCTTTAACATGGCCTATTCACTTCATGTTCCTATACTGATGTTTGTCTTATATTCTGACAAGGCAGGAACTATGTGAAAATTACCAGCATGGGATTGACAATTTGATCCCAAACTGGAATGAATTTGGATTTACACTCCCAAACATTTCACAAATATGGCTTACATTTAACACTGCATTTGTGCATGTCTCAGAATGAAAGTGCAGGAAAAATCTATCACGTAAGCACAGCCAACCAGGGAGTGGGGGGGGGGGGTGACAGGAGTTGGTGGCTCCAGTCTGAGGAAGCAGCTGCTTTAAATGTTTGTTACGACATTTAAAGGAATTTACACTTATAGCAAGTGATCACTTGGCATGTAACTAGCAAACTATGACTCATCATTTTTTGATTCCACTGTTCTTGCTGAGTCACGACACGTTGGTAACCCTGAAGCCTGAACACAGCAGGATGGGTGCTGATTACAGCATTTGGGACTCTGCCTGCTCTGTCTGCCCTCTGCAGATGGACTCTCATCTTTATCTCAGAATGCCTCCACCCACCCTCTGCAGTGCACTACACCATTCTAGGAAAAAATTTCCACTTGCTTCTTGCACAGCACTTTCCCCAAACTTGACAGCTCTCTATGAACTAAGGATGTCTCATTTGGCAAACGATTTAATGCCACATTACACACACAATTATAGCAAAATCATGACAGTGCCAAAATGAGAAAAAAAGCAAGTTGTCCCAGGAAAACCACTAGAAATTAGATTGTGGAAAAATGTGGGCTAGGTGTAGTCTTCACTGCATTTCAGCAAGCTCTTGTAATATGGTGAATGAAAGAGCATTGGTTTCAACACTTCTGCTTCCACATGACTCCATGTGCATCCATGTTTGTGTTCACATGTACATCTATACACACTTACCTACAACCAAAGCATGGCGCTTTACCAATACACTAAACAATACAATTCCTTGAAGCTAAGGTCTCTTAATGTGTGAAATCTAAAATCAACCCCTCTATTGCAAGTCCTGTCAGGGCTTCCTGACTTAAGAACGTCCCAAAGCACAAGAACTCTGGATCCCCAGCAGAACCCAGCATACAAATTCTTGCTTGGTTCAGACTGGCTGCTGGGGTAATCGTCTTGTGTGAAATTTTGCTCTTCAGCTGAGCTCAAGCCACCCAGACTGTGGTCATGGCAGTGTTAGCTGCCATGGAAAAACCACCAGTAAGAGAAGGACTAGTGCTAAAAGGAAGAAAACAAATATAAAATCATGACATTATATCCAGTCAAACAAAAATCAGTAATTTCCATAGAGGCAGCTATTTCAAGCCCCTCTTTTATTTTTAAAATGTTTCTTCATATGTGTACATGCCACAGAAATAAAATGATAGCTCCACAGATGCGACCTGCAGGCTGGAAAGAGAAAGCCAGAGCTTAAAAATCAAGTAATGCTCAAACATCCCGAAATTTCTAGGGTTTTACACCACCTAATTAGCACAGCCAGAATCCCTTAACACAGATACCAACACCTAGTCCATAGAGTAGGCCAAAAAAAATTCCAATCAAAACCTGTATATTTGCTCCAGGTTCTTGCTGAGCATCATAACCTACTTCCTCTTGTACCTTCTTCTCATTTAGAATGCTACAGCTGCTGCTCCCTGGTACTCCACATCTCATTGCTAAGAGGAAGTAGCTTTCAAATACTGTCTATTTCATTATAAAAGAAAAAAAAACTGCAACAAAAATCTTAAAGGCACTGAAAAAAGGCACATGTCCTTGTAACATATAGCATGAGCATACAGCATTGTTCTGAGCCAGCCTAGTCTTCTGAATGACTCTGCCCTGAGCTAGCTTGATTGACCAAGGCCATGGTGGGGACCTGACTCTTGAGGCTGGCCAAGCATGAGCCACTCTTCACACTGCCTGCTGCCTCTGCTTCTGGAGCACAGCTTATGGCCAGCTTCCGAGCTGCATGGAGTCACAAGGCCTCAGCAAGGTGCAGCTGTATGGATTTGGTCCTGGGCAGGAGCAGAACAGTCAGGTACAGAGTGTGGCATCTGACGCACAGGACAGTCAGACCCAGGCTGCCTCCTCCCACAGCTCTGCTGGTCAAACCTTAATTGCAGGGCCTAGAAAGTCACAGCAGATTACCAGCTCACTAATAATGGAAGACAAGACACATGCAGAACTTGCAACTGGGTTCATCTCTATTTTGCAAAGTGGTTTGTTGCATGTCTTTACATTCTGGATATATAAAACCAAACACTCAGAAAATGTCCAGAAGAGTACTTGTTTTCCACTGGGCTGGAAAACTTTCCAACTTGTCAGTGCCATATTCTACATTATTTAGGTCTGTTGTTTCAAATTCAAATCCAAAACCCAATGAAATGTTTTACAAGAGATTACTGGAACCTGAATCTACTGCATTCTCTTATACATCCAAATCACATCCTGCTGTCAGATGGAATGAAGACAGTCCTTACCCTTAGTGCAAACACCACGTTGAAGAGAATCATTGTGGGCATCTCTCTCTTTGGTGAGGGATCAGTTTTGGATACCTGAAAAAAATCAATTTTCAATAAATCCCACAGGCTAGTGTCAATTGGGTCCAGTAATGAAGGGGGAAAGAAGCCTAACTCAGTCACATAGCAAGTTTACTGAGAAAAGAGAGCAGAAATATACCGTTAAATTTGACTTGTAAAAAATAAAACTATGATTTTTATTATATTTTTTTAAATTAAAGTGCCACAGTTACTCTACGACACTGCCTTTTTTGGGAAGCTGTGAAGACTTAAACCAAAGCGTTTTGGTCATGCCCATGGAACACAGCAGTCTTAATAGGTGTCTTTACTATTGCATTTTAGCATCTTTAGGGACCTTACATTTCAATTCCCCATTTGGACTGAGTTATGTTACAAACTGTTGCTTTTATCAGACAAAAAAATGCACTCTAGAAGTGCAGTACTAAAATACAAGGTTTGTTTTTCCCTTCCTGCAGGATTTCAAACACATCTTACAGCCCCCCCTATTCTTTCTGCAGAAGACAGCTTCAGCCCTAACGAAGGTACAGACTTTCTGGTGAGAAGGAACAGTGGAAGCCATCACATGCAAGTTGAGCTTGTGCATTCAGACAAACAACTCTGAATCGAACAAGTGTCACCACAAGATGGAGCACAAAATCCGGAGGACATTTCTGCCGCCCTCAAAGTTCTCTGCTGAACACCCATCCATTCCCATGTGAAATCAGCTATAACCCATAGGGCCAAACACTCAGGCAACCTAATACTGGGTCTCTACCCAACACATAAGCATGTGTAGCTAATGCAGCATCTGAGACAGAGCAAATGCAAGCAGAGCTGCATACACCCTTCCTGACAGGTCCCAAGCATCAGCAGTAAGCTCCAAAATCTGAGTGCTTTCACTCAGCAGTCTTAAAAATTAGAGAAACCAAAAGCAGCAACAAAATTTTGGGGTTTCTTTTTAAAGTATAAGTGAAGTCCTATCAAAAAGGCCATGACAGGAGCGTGGTAAAGCCAATTTACTGTGTTTATTTGTCTGGTCTTACAGGTTCCAGGATGTCTCATGAACTTTAATAGAGACTCAAAAGCATTTCCAAACATAGGGATTGATTCTGTTCCCTCCTTAAAATCAAAGAAACTGGCACCATTAATATCAATTAGAATGCAGGCTAGATTTCATATCACCTCTTGTCCAGAAAAAAAAGAAGAAATGACTAAGCTGGAAGAGAAAATGCTGAAGGAATTTGAAGAATTCTGAATATTCCTACATAAAAGGTAGTCTGGCACACAGGATTAACGACTTATGTTCTTGTAATTCCTGAATCTCATCTGAGTAAGAATTTGCTGAGCTGTCCTATGGATTAATTTACTACAGTAAGAACCCTGGAGAAACCCAAACCAGAGATTGTCAGGTGTCCCCAGTCACTGCCTTTGCTTTATGGGAAAGGAGCTCCATCTAGCTTCCTCCTAATTGCAAAACGGTCCCAGATTTAGACTCAAGTGAACTAGCAGAGATGACTGCCATGTCTAGAAGTTTCTAGACACTAGAAACTTGTGTGCCTACTGGGGTGATAAGACACACCCAAAAAGATCCTACAAGGAGAAGCAAACTGTTTAAAGCACTTTAAAACTTCATTCATTTACCCTGATGCATTTTTATTTGGACATACTGGAAATGAAGAGACATTTCATGCAAATAGGATAAAACTGACTGGGAAGTGGAGAGAATGTATAATAATATGTGGTGAAGAAATGCAAATACAAGTTTTTAACCTCATTTACAGCACATTTAGGAAGTTGTGCCTTTCAGACAAGATTAACAAAATAAAGGAATCGGATACCGTGAGACAACAGGCCATGCTGTTAGGACACCAGCAAGTCTTAATGGCTCTGACCCATCCCAATGGAGTCCCTCAGGCTCATCCCTGGAGCCCCATTCAAGCTCAGCCCAGGGCCTGTAGGTATGCCTGTCTCCAGCCCCATTTCAAGGATGGGCCTTCAACCTATGTTGTCTGGTTAAGAACACTGCAGTCTTGTCCTCCAGCCCTTTCTCTGGTCCCATCTCCTTTCTGCTCCTGGCTGGGGGACCAGTATGAACTTTACGCCTGGTTCATCACTTGCTTTGACTGGGGCTGGTGGTGCAGTTGCACAGCTTGGGGATGCCTGAATTCTCTCTTCCAAAACAGCTTAAACATTTGAGGACTGAGTCTTGGTGACCCTACATCACATTTCTGGTAGACCCCAGACTGAGTTTTGAAAGTGGAACACGAGCATCTTTTGATGCTTGGAGCCAGCTCCTCACTTGGATTAAAGCAGTCTGGTCCTCTAAATATCAAGCAGCAGATGCCAACAATCTGTTTCCATCTCTAATTATAGACAGAACGATAAAATTGGCAAGCAGATTTTTTTCCTGGAAAAATGAGCGACTTAGTAAATGTGATGAAAAATGAGACCAAAGCAGTTTGGTGCGAGAGAAATCAGAGTTAAAATCAGAAATTACCAAAGCCCACTTCATTCTTACAGTCCATCTGTGACTTTGTCTACAAGATTTTAGACCTCTTTCAACTTCCTGCCTGTTCTAAGCAAGCCTTGTGAATGACCTTCAGCATCAGTAAGAGTTAAAAGCCAAACAAGGCTAATGAGGCTTCTAGACTTTGTGAAGGTTTTGGGTTTTTTCAGCTGCCATACTAATTAGAGGTGCTAAAAAGCTAACTTGCAATAACTAATATAATGAGAAACAGCTTTTGGGGCTGGACTGCTTAGTATTACTTCTCTTTACCCACACTACTTTTCTAGAGTAATCAGAAAGGGGCCCCTGAGAATCACTGACACAGCTCCCTCAGTTTGCCACTCACCGTATTTATCTGGAAGTAGGAGACAGCTTTGAGCATCAGGAAGTAAAAACAGGATCAAAACCCAACACACACATTCTGAATTCTGTTTCCCAAGCCACACAGTTTGTAAAGAATGCAGGTCCCCAGAGTGGACCTCGTACCATACCTGCCCCAGGGCATGCTGAAGCAATGTGGGATGGCCAACAAAGCGAACATTATCAATCTTCAGTTCAAACTTTTTGCCACACATATCTGACTTGGTAGCCAAAATTGTTGCCAGGATGACATCCGAAAACCTTGAAGAGCAGAAACAGAATTTATTACAATTTTCAAAAAGCATACCCCCAGAATATTCCTCCAAACAGAGATATATTTAACTCATGAGGTTCTGAAGTATTGGAAGTTGTGTTTAATTGTTGTACCTGGAGGACCACCAATTATGTAAAATTAAGAACCCCTTAATTACATCTCTCAGATCATCACAATTACGAAACAGGAAGCATTCACGACAAAGGCTGCAGGGTCATGCTTATTTAATTGCATGCTGAGCAAAATACGTTGGAAAGATTAGATGTAGTTCGCTTAAATATAAAAACAGCTCGAGTTAGCCATTGCCTGGATTTAGCTGCAGGTTAATGAACTTACTAAGCAACTACATATCGACAGCCTGTCACTCAAGCAGAGAGATCTTCAAGCTACCCAGTATGGCAGAAGGGAATGCAAGAAAGAGCTGATTCAATTTGAAGCAGCATATAGCCAACACTTGACCTTCCTTTCCCTAAGCTCATCACTGAGTTACTCAACAGATCCCAGCCTGTGGTCAAAAGACCACTGGCATCCTTCTGACAGTTGCCTGGCCTCACCTGGGCTTTTTCATTTGATAAACCAAACTGAGACAAACTCATGACAGGACAGGCCCTTCTCAGCACCAGCCATGGTGTTACTGGATTGCTCTGGATTGGGGGTGAGAAAGAAAGTAGCTACAAGACAGGAATGCAAGTACAGGAGTCTGCCCTGTAAAAGACAGCTACTGCTGCAAAACAAGTAAGAATCCAGTGTGACAAGGGAGGAATTCTGCAACTGCTCTTTCTGACGGCCTTGCAACACTGGCCTGGTCTCTACAAACACTTGTTTTCTTTAGGGTGCCCCTGAGATGGTGGAGCTCAAATCCACAGGGAGGAGGACGTCAGCTAGCTGCTGGAGGGAACTTGTAGAATAGGAGCACTGCAAGGTTTGATATTAGCAAGTTCTTTCCTCATCTGATTTCTTGGAGGCTCCCATTTAACCAAATTAATTTCAAACCAGTTTCTGATGAGACCAGTTTTTTAGGAATAAAAATGTTTATTTAATTTTCTTTATTTACATTCTGGGACGTGTCAGACCATCCCCCTAAACCAGGCAGGTATCCCAGATAACATAGTATCACTGAGAGAAAAGGGCAGGCATGGGTGTGTGCTGCACTCACCTTATCTCCTAGCCACAAGTGAGCCCTCGATGCCCAGAAAAGGAATTAATGTACCATTTTCCTGGCTCATCTGAGTTATGGAGTACTACAGAATTTGAGACAAATGCACATAGCCAGGTCTTCTGTCTGTATCCATCTGCATACAACTCAGGGAGCATTTCTTTTATGAGACCTATATATGCTGAAGATGAAGGACAACACGGGGGCTTTACAAACTGTCAGAGCCCCAGTGTTTGTACAAACAAGTCATCCTGACCACAGCACATTGCTTACATTTGGCTATGGAAAGAGCAGCTGTGTAGAAACTTCCAAATCCCTGACCACTGCTCCAAACACAGCTCAGGGCAAGCAGAGACAGGGAGACTAACCAGAGACTCCTGAGATCACTGAGCCTACGCTCTTTAGCCACCGCACTGGGCTGTATAACACATGGATTTCATGAAGAAAGGGCAAAGCATTCTCAAACAGGACCTGGACTGATGGTATCTGGAGATCACATTCAAAATAGAGAAAAGAGTCACCATGGCAGCAGTGAGTTTTCCCCTCTTTCTGCCCTGTTCAGCTGTGTTCACTAACAGGCTCAACACAGAGCCAGGAAGACTGTAGCAGCAACGGATGCAAAACGAGCATATGTTTCGGGGCGTGAAGGCAGAAAGAGGGTAAACCAGAAATTGCCTGTTTGTCAGTAAGAAATTAGTTACTCTTCCCTCCCCAGCCTTGGCGAAGGATACCTTGGGAGCTGGAAAACCGACCATCAGAATGACTTTCAGCACTGTGAAGATTTGTCTTTTACAAGAAATTACGCTAGCATATCTTTTAACAGATAGGTGTGATGCTGAATTAATAGTTCAGGAGTCCCCAAGGAGAGTTCAGGACATCAACAACCCTCTCTCTGCCCTACCTTGTAGGTGGCTCTGTGGGGAGGAAGAGGTGAAAAGGTAGATTTTGTAAAGTCCTCAGTAACTTCTCACTAGCAAAAACTTCTCTTTCTGGGAGAGTACTGTAACTGCAGCCAGAGGACATGCTCAGGATAGATAACCCTGTGATGGGTTACACAGATGCTACCTGATGGGTACAGACACCTGGTATCACCACAGACTCTCCCAAGAGTGACCTGGACTCCAGCCCCTTTCTCCTTGCCTAAATTTATTGGGTTTTCTGGTTTAAGGGTTTTCTCCCCCAGTGCTCCTCCTAATATATACATTTCTTAGCCCTCAGGATGATAGGGAGATTGAGGGACAGCAGATAACACTATTCCCATAATTTCATTTAATCATCTTAGAAAAGGACACTTTTACTTCAAATATTTTAATACTGATTTTGTAATCTCTGGGGTATATTAGATAACCTAAAAATACTGACTTATCAGAGCCCAAGAGTTTGTTAGAAGCAGATTAGGTTTCACAGTTGGGTAGTAACAGTCCCTTCTCCTTTTATGAGATTACTCTGAGCATTGTGATTTCCAGAGGGGAGCAAACCTCTCCCTTAAAAAGGAATTCAGCAGGCAGAAACTAAACACAAGAAACAAAAGCTTTAATTTGCCCCAAATATCCTACCACTCCTCTCATGAGCTCAATATAGCAGCAACAGCAGACAATCTCGCACTACCATACAAACCACACTAGTGCAGATCGACTGCTGTCACCAGCATCTCCTCTGGAAATCCAGCTGAAACAACAATTGCTTTAGCACATGGAAAAGGAGGGGGAAAAGCACCTCAAACACAAATTCACTTCTTCCCCCCAAGAATGGCTAATGACTTTTTATATACCACAGGAATTGAAAGCAAGGGGTTTGTAAAGAATTCTTCTTTGAAGTACTTTAGAATGGGAGCTGAGTATGTAGGTGAGCATCTTCAGGTTAAGCAGGGACTAGAGATGCTGTTTAATACTTCTGGGGTGCTGTGTAGAGATAAGCGCTTTTTCCTCCACACATCCAAAAAGGGGGTACAGTGCAGTCATCCAGTTAAACATAGCAGGGCACCAAGAACAATCAACCAGCACAGCTGCTCAAAACCAGGTCTCTGAAGAGTTCTCTGTCATTACTGTGAGATTAAATAGTTTACTCACTGATCTGTACTTTTAAGTCATTGTTCATTAGACAGCCATTTGTTTTAGGGCTCCTTGTTGGAATAACTATAACGGCAAGGCTATACTTGTTGAATTCTCAGAGGATCACAACCTTTCTCAGTTCACAGAAGGGACAGTACCACACCCATTCTGGATACCCTACAGGAAGCACAGAAATGTTAGTAGGCCCTTTGTAATTATCCTGGCATAAACCTTTAGGAGTACATTTTCTACAGACATTGTGATTTAGCATGTAATTATCTCATCATTTGGTGTAAAACAGAAACCAGAAACAAAGCACAATTATAAGGATGGTGAGAAAAGAAAGCCATTCTAGACAAAGGTGATCGTTTAGAACGTTTGGTCTTACCCCGAAACCAATTGCTCATCAGTTAGAGGACATTGGTCTCTGAAATGGGAACATGGCCATAAACACAAAACAAAATACAACAAAAGAAAATAAACGAGGCAAGTACACAAAATACAAAAAAAAAAAAAAAAAAAGAAAAAAGATAATATTAAAAACTAGGATGAAGTATTAAGGGTTAAAATTCTGCAAAGGAAATAAAACTATTGCAAAGAGTCAAAAGTTAATGATAGGTGAATTCCAGGGACATACTGCAGGCTTCGATTGGCAACATGGAGAAACAGGCCAAGGCGTTTTCATCTTTTCACTAACACCGGCTGCTGTAATGTGGTCCTACAATACACTGCATTTATGGTTCTGTATTTACATGCTATATTTTATTTTATGCTTACCTTAATAAAAAATAGAAGAGGTTACAGTCTGATTTAGAGCAGATTCTAAACTTCAGTTTCTTTTCTAGACTATTACTGGCTTTTTCACTAAAGGAACATCCTGTGCAGCCCCAAATGACCCATAGCTCTTCCCATACCCACAAGATACAGAAAAAGAGGATGCCAAACACTTATTGCATGCACAACCAGGATTCTACAATGGGCCTTGCACACAGAGCTGTTGCTTATTCCCCCAGGAATATAAACAAGAGATACAAGCCTGGCCAGACTCACAAGCATGAAATCATTTTCCAATTCTCTGCCTGTCCCAGGCAATAATCAGAAACTTAGGAAGAGTAGGCTGAAAAAGATTTCAAGGCAAACAACCTGAAAAGGCTCTTTACAACAGGCATACAGAGCAAGGCTCTGTTAACAGCTGTACTCACTTTTGTATCAGAGAAACAAACACTTATTTTCATTATAAGTCAACCCCCTCTTTTTTTTCCTCAAACACCAAGGAAAAACAGGACTTGTTTCCTGAAATAAATTTCCCAAATATACTGAAAAAATAATCTGATAAAAACTTTATATGGTCCACATTAGAAAGAGGATGCAAAATGAAAACCTTAACAATTATTTAATCCAAAAGACAGCAGATTTCTACTGTTCATGTTGAAAAGGGAACCTAGAGCAATCCTAAATGAAAAACTATACAAAGAGAGTGATATTACAGGAAGGGTGTTTAAAGGCATGGATGGACGAATGGAAAAGCACGGGCTTACAGAAAGGAAGCCTTTCAGAACACATACAAGGAAGAACACTGGAGTCCAGTGAAAGAAGGACAGAGGATACAGAAATGTTATCACAGGAGAACTACTGTTTGTTAGAAAGGGACATTCAACTCCTTGTTTGTCAGTAACTTGGGGTTTGTTATAACAGAAGCATTTGGCCAATTAATGACATCAATGCTGACGCAATTGCTAAACCCCTTTTGGTTAGTCAGTTAGGCTACTAAAAAATGCCAAGTCTGGTCTAACATATGTTGCTATACGTGCATCCTCATTAGAATCTTTGCTTGCTGACTATACCACTTTCAGAAAAACTACAAAACCCATTTCAAACCAATTCAACCAAGCATTATCTTAGGGCTTCTAAAGGGTATTTGCCTCATGGTTTTTTGGGAGGAGGAAGGAGACACAGGCAGTCATCTCCATGAACTAGGAGGGCTATGTATTACTAGTAAAGCACTCAAAAACTGAAGGATGTTTCTGAAGACAGCAAATGATTAAAGGCTGAGAAGAAGCTAACAGAGACAACTGACAGGCAATTTGTTTTGACAGTGATAGATTCTTCTGAATACCTTTTTGTTGCATAGCCACCATCAACACACCTCAACCATTTCTGCTGCTTGGCTTCCTTTTAAAGGAAGAAAAATCTGTATTCTGAAGACTCAAACTCACAGCTCCATTAAGTAGAAATTAATAAAAGCAAACACACACCGGTAACCTGTCATGAATAGGCTGCAGCTGTCTATAAAAAAACCAAAAAGCTTAACAATGACCAGGAAATTTGAGTCTAAAGACTAAAGGAAATCCAGTTATGCATATCATTATGCTATACCAAATGGAGTTAAGGCACCCAAACTGATCTAATGTTGCTCTTTCTGAGGCCATAAAGGAATAAATACACCTCAACAGCTCCAGAAAAGGGCAGCTCAAAAATAATCAATCTGGGTTCCAATAGCATGGGGAAAAAGCCACAGTGAACCTTATTTTTAGGCTACAATCAGCGCTAAATTGGTAGTAAATTAAAGACAGCCATCCAGTATAAAAAAGGATGAATCCATCCCTCGTAAAAACTACTGCAGCAATAAGGTAAATCTGAATCAACCTTTGCAATGTAACATGAGAACACAGGAAAAATTACCACCACCAGAAAACAGACTGGACTTCATGCTGGTGAAATCTCTCAGTTCATACTGAACCGAGTGCTTCAGGAAGAAGCACCAGTGCACTGTTGAAGACCAAACTCACAGAAACAGAACTGCCACTGGAGGAATGGCTCTAACTAAACCAGTCACTATTCCTGGTCTCAGTGGGAAACCACAGAACACATTCCGACCAGGAGCCCAGGAGTGAAGATTCAGAACACTGGTGAGGGAAAA